AAGATGTGACTAGTCAAATTTAAGCGTTTGAGGAGTTTTCATTATGCTATCGAAAATTCTCCGAGGAAATCCGAAAATTTTACTTGCTTCCGTCGGCTCATATTCCAGAAATCGCACGAGCCCGTGGTTCCTTGCAACAGATCTCCCAAAAAAGCTAAGCCTTAACAAAGATCAGATCATTCAGGGGGAAGACAAAAAGAGCTCTCATAATGCAATAGAAAGCTTTCCAAAAAGTTTCGAGAATCTTACGAACCTCTCCTACCTGATAGACTTCTTAGCGAGGATCAGTTGATACCGATAAAAATGTTTGAAGAATTTACATTATGCTATCGCAAATTCCCGAAGATTAATAAATTTTTGCGAGTCTCTCTCGACTGATTTGATAATAAGACCTCGAAAAGATATTCGGAGAATAGTGATAACCGGGCAAAGATACGAAAATTAAATTGAGCTTTTAAGAGCCACATCTCACAACAAACAGACAACATCATGGCAACACAAACAAGCGAAATATTAAGTATGTTTTGAATCTTATCGTAAAGAAAAGACAGGAAGACTGTAGGAAATTGTATTACATTTAGGCTTGTCATTCAAAATACAAAGTACGGTAAGACAGTAAAGTACGTCCTCGATCGGTGAAAAATCTTTAGCTATCTTCCTACAAATAAAGAATGAAACGCCAGTTTTAGCTTACAACTTCGATGCGTTGTCTTAAAAAGTAAATTTTCTAAATACAGCTTAATTAAAAGAGAGAAAATTTGCGTTTATGATGGAGTTCGTAAACTTCAGTTCAAACCGCTTTTATTTGCAAAAACAATACATAACTTTGATGCATTGTTTTAGAGGAGTGAGTTAGCAGTGAGTAAACATAAATTAAAACAATAAAACATTGTCTAAGTCTTTTGCATATTACTTCCAGAAGGAAACAAAACAGGCGTGCTTAATTTCACTGTAAATATGACGTTAATAGAACGCATTGCTTGAATAAGAAACCCCTTGAAAGTTCCGTGATGTGACGTAAGCACGACATTGATTGATTTGACGTTTTTGCGCGCGGACTTAATACGACACTAATTTCGATAGAGTTATTGTTTATATTTTTTCCATTGCCACGTGGTTATTAAATCTTGGGCAATCACGAAACGAGATCATTTACATCCTGTCTTTTGTCAAGTATTTAGCCGCAATCCAGGAGAAAGATTCCCAACTACCTGTCGATATAATACCCAATTAATGGCACTTTTACTAAACTGTTGATACTTTTTGTTTGCACGGGTGTGAGGCACTAACGAGATAAGAGTTGGCATTGTGTCAATTCTACCTCGCTGTTGAGTATCTTCCGTCACTTTTCTTTGCTGTCGGACGTACAATATTCTCAGAACACAAAAAGAAAAAAGTTTATTATTCGCTCGCATTTCGTTTTTTAAACTTTGCTAAACTTAGAATAGAGAGGTGAGTTATCAGTTGTCAATTGCATGACGCGAAAAAACTTATCGACGACTATTTTCTTTTCAACTCGGCTGTCTGAGAAATCTGCCGTTGGTCGCTATTTATATTTATATTTCTTAATGAAACTATTCAAGTGTTTTGCGTTTCCTTTCGAAAAATAAAGCGTGAAATTAAATTATACCCTATTCCTCCCATAATTCGCTTTTGAATACAGCCGTTTCCCGCTAGTTTGTAACCCTTGCTCTTAGCTGTTTGAACAGTTATTGTTACTTTGGAAAACCCTCTTTCTTCTCGATAATCTTGTAATCTGATGGTAAAGATGCTTCTGACACATTTCCGTGCGCACAAGATTTTCTAAGTCACTCGATAAGAGAATGAAGAGTTCCTTTGAAAGAAGGTATTTAGTTCCATCTTCGCCTCACAACAATGCTCGTCTGTCTTTCGCCCGTTACATACAGCCCGATATCTTCAGTATCTGAGAAAATACGCACCCATCCCTCCCCTAACCTAAACATGGCAGGGGAAGGGGTAAGCGCGTAACTGATCAGACTCTGAAATTCTTTGTGAGCTAGCTTTCCAGTCTCATTGATAGTCCGGCTAATTTCTCCTCTCAACCCGGGTACCATTCAACGGAAAGGATTTTTTTGGCCACCATTTTGTGACATCATTATACTATTTTCGAGTGCTACCCCATCGTTGGGTAAAGATTACGACATCGCACTCTTTTGAAAGCTTTACCTGTGCGAAGAGCGTGAGCAAATATTTGGACCAGACCCTTCACTGCCAGAATTCAGAATAAACCCCTATAATCTGCCGAAAGCTCGAGAAAACGCCAGTGATCCAGTCGTGATTCGTTTTATTTTACCATCTAATTGGTTGAGAATTTTGTACGAGTTTTCTCGACCAATTAATCGAAACTCGATTTTTTTCTGTAAATAAATACCCATTGAAGATGACAATGCAAAGCCATCAAAACTGAACTTGAAAATATTTTCTCTCTCCAAATTAGGGAAGAGGAGGGGGGAATAGGGATTTTCTTCTGATTTAAATATTTTTTTCTCACACGAATTAAGCATGTGCCACACGCCTGCGGATTAAAAACATCGATCACTGACATGCATGACAATTCAACAATGCAAAGCCAGCTATTCTGAACTATTTGTTGTTCTGGAACCCTAAATTGAGATTTATTTCCATCCGAAATAGACCAGTGAAGGGCAATAAATGCCACTACTGAGTCCAAAACATTCGTAACTCAAACGTTTTCGGCAACGTTCGAAAGTTATCAGAACTTCTTCGAAAAGGTTCAGGAGTTGTCAGGTGTTTTTAGGAAATTAAGGAAGTATCAAACGATCTACTGGGGAAAAGAAATCATGCATTTCAGACTGACCCTTTAACTCCTATGAGTGACCAAGATAGAATTTTTCCCTACAATATCAATACAATATCAACCAGATAAGTGATGAGAATAAAGAAAAATATCAATTTGGGGATAATTAGTTGATCCAATACTAAATTCTCTGAACTAACATTATAAGAAATGTATGGTTGACATTGAGGAGAATTACAAATTTGATCTGGGAGTTAAAGGGTTAAAACATCTTTTCTCATAAATCGCATTTAAGGTTGTAAAAACTCTTCGATATTATTTTGAACTAAAAACACATAAATTTAAGGAAACAAAACTGAAACATGAGTCATCAGAAAGGGCAGTTTCTACACAGGAAGAGTGGGTAAGTTTTTAAATGATACATTTTAGGATTTGTGAATCATTTATCATTTTTCAATTTTCCAATCTCAATCCGCGTGAATCCTCACCTTCCTTTGCCTTTCTTATTCCGTTTGGTCTTTTACATCCATTTTTCATAATTTTTTTTATCAAATCCAACTGGCATCATGTGGTTTCCTGAAAACCGAGATTAATTATCCGCATTGCCTGAAACAACATCTTTTGAGTCACAAGAAAAAAAAGGTCCCGATACCATCATATAATACTTGAATGAAAAAAAATATATCTTTACCAATTGGTTTACCCAAAAAGGCCAAAAACCTTTGACTGTTGGCGATAAAATATTTTGTCCATTTGACGGTGTAAGCCTGATTAACTATTCGTAGTTGTTGTTGAGGTGACAGATATTTTTACCGCTGTAGCATGCAGCGACTGTGTTGAGGGGAAATATGATACTTTCTTTTAAACGAAAACTCATTGATAACTATCGTTTCACGAAATAGGAATTGGTTTCAAAAGGATCTTAGGTCTTCTTTTTTTCGATTCACTTCGTTAAATGAAACTGAGAAAATCGACTGGTATATCCTTCTTTTTTTTTTTCTTTATGAGTACTGGTATCTTGGCGAGGTCATGTCACCATAATTTCTGAGAAGCTGAAAGAGGAACACTTCTATATTTGCTAATCATAGTTGAGGCTCGAAAACTGAAACCAAAATAGTCATGGCGCCAGCCGAGCGCGGGAAAACATGCAACCGGCGCCTTATTAGTTCGGGAAGATACCTAACTGAGAGGCTTAAGCGGGAAATCATGTACTCGGCGCCTAATAAGCGCGGGAAAACTGTTCGAGTGAAGAAACTCGAATCGTTTCGATTCACCAATAATTTAGAAACGTCAATCTGATTGGTTAAATATTTTTTTGGGCAATAATCAAGCTTAGGAAATGAACTTAAACCGAAGACCCTTCTACGAATATTATCCACATGACCCATTCGCTGAAAGGAAAAGACCATCATTTTTCAGTGTAAGTAAAGTGTTATTTACAAATGTTGATGTGAATTTGACAATGAAGTATTGCAGAAAACTTTGCTCTCAGTCCGTAGATCTTCATGCGCCCAAGCCAACATATTCTTAGCAAGTGTGAATGCACTGACGACGTTATCTATGAAAAGATATCGATGTAAAGGGAAACTTTAGATTTTCCTCACGAGAGGACATCGAAGTGTCAAGTAATAAAAGACACTGTTTAAAAGATGATAGCAACATTTGGCTGAAGACAAATGCTTTCAGAAAATACAAGTTGGGCGATTCCTATCAACTGCATTGTTAAACTCTTTTAAATCTCATATTTCCCGCTGGTTATTATTTAAAACATGTTGATAGCAAAATATTTTGCTAGTTCTCCCGGTTGCGAAGGTAAAATTTGACTTAATCGAGTGAATTCGCATCCAGGTCGTCATTTAATTTTGGCAGTAATCGGTCAATGATCTTGAAGCGATAGTGACCGCCCAAACCACGAATAACAAAATCTTTAGAATAGCACATTCTTTCCACACGGTTACCATTCAATCTTGCCCTATCTATTTCAATCCTTTGTTCACGACTTGTAAATTGTGGATCATCTTTTTTTAACTGTAAAAGCGGTTAAAAACAATAATGAAATAATGATACAAAACATGACCAATTGGAAGGACCAACACAAAGCTCTTCCCAACGAAGCGTGCGATTCTCTTCCGCAGAGCAGTTCTTTTCTTGTTTCTTAAGTTAATTTCGTTAGTTCGTGGTTAAACAAAAGGAGATTGTACAAGTCCTTTAAACGCATTGTCAACCATTTGACTTTATTAAGAAGTGTTTACTCATATTCACCAGACAAGGACGAATACAATCCTGTGTGGCACTTTTACCGTTTCGCGTGTAATATTTTGCAAGTTCATTTTGGCAGGTTATTTTTTTGTTGTTGTTTGCAATATATAATACAATGTGTAAAAAAAAGCACTTGCTCGTACAGTGTTTAAGTCCCCGAATCGGGAAATTTTCACAGCTTTATTTTCTGCGAGAAAACACTCTAAAACAATATCATCTCATTGTCACTTAACAAAAAGGGGATACAACTGTCACATTGCAACATGCTAATTAGATTGCCGAGAGTGAAGTCTCAAGGGGTTCTCGTTGAACTTCAAATTAACCAGAGGTGTTTTTGCTTCAGCATTTTGTATTTCTAAATTTCTAATCGCTGGCTTTTCGTTGCATTCACGTAGTTTTAAAAACCAAACTACCAAAGTGACGGGAGGAATCTCATCACGATAACAATAAAAGTATTTAAGCATTGAAAGCTCGAAGAGAGTACTTCTCTTCTTCTTTGATTTTGTCGAGTAGTTCCGTAAGGTTCGAAATATAATTTTTAGCCAGACGTAGGATTTCAACTTGAGTCATCTTTCGTTCGCTGACTCCTCCAGAAGAATTCACGTTACTTGGTACAACTGAACGAAGGACTTGAAAGGCCGCGTTTAATCTTGCTTTCCTTCCTCTTTCTCTCTCGTTTCGCCTGATTTGTCTTGTTGTTCTAACCCCACTCGGACGCGTCCTCCGCTTTGCTTGCCATTCATTGCCATGAGTTTTTGCCCATTTTGTTCCCCTTGAATCACTTTGTATGGCATTTGTCAACAGTTTGGAGTTTTTATCTTCCAGCTGCACGCCCAACGATTTCCCATTTGTGTGCTTTCCTCCACTTTGCTTCATAAAACTCTTGGAGGTTATGGAGCTAAATTTCTTTCCTTGCGATTGGCTTTGAAAAAGACCCCTTCTTGATTCCTGAGCGCTCATTGCCAAGAAATATCCCTGAAGCAACCTGAAAGAGAAGACATGACATACTTTTATGATAAATAAACAAAAAGTCAGAGCTAGGTTGCGAATAAATTTAACGAGCGTTTCAGCCATGATTTGGTTATTATTATTTTTTTTCAAGCGTTGTGCGATTCCTATGGAAAGTAAAACTTAATAACAGGTTCTTGCAGACGTGAAATGATCAAAAAGTACCCGCAGTAATTAATTTATCAAACCTTACCTGTTAATATTTTTTTCTAAAGTCTAGATGTAATTTACGCAGATAAACGCCCTCTTACCTGTTTATGCTGAACCAAGGCGCAAATTATTGTGCGGTTGGTATGTTAAGGTGTTCTTGCGCTTTCGAAGGCTGGCTGTGTTTAACTTTAAACTCTTAAACGCCAGGCCAGTTTTGTAGGATTTGTAATTCGCACGTGGTCACAAAGAGAAATACAGGTAAACAAAGACTTGGACTAGGCACGCCTCGGGAAAAAAATAAATCCGTACTCATCGTTTCACGAATTTAAAGACAAGTAAATCAAGCACATAATGGTATTCACAATGCAAATTCTTGTTAAATAAAGCACGTGCTATCTAATCATTAATTCTGCACGTTAGATAACAAAGATCGATGGGCTCTTTAAAAAACACCGTTCTGCTAACAAGCTAACCAACAAAGCCAAAATTAGCTGCGTTTGATCCTCAATAGCGCTTCCCCAAGATGAAACCGAGGAGTGTCATATCAAAAACATGCTTTTATGACATCCTTTCTCTTGGAAACTATCCCGTTTCTGGTAATAATTGGAAACCGTACACTCAAGCTACGACCGTCAATTTCGTCTAATTTTGCAAAATTACCCCGTTGGTTGAAATTTGCATGTTTGAAAAGGTCAGACTGAGCGGGGCCTTGACGATCGGATAACGGTTTGAAAAATATTTAGTAGAGACACCCTTGGTGAAAATCACTTCACCTTTAGATGCCTTGGCAAATCTTCTTTCTCTAAAAGTGTAAACACTCTGACGATCAACGGTGTCTTAACTAATTTATGCGCATGCGCAAGAATCCCAGCTTCTTTTCATAAATCGGTAAAGGGTTAGTGTTTTCTTCTCTTTCTGCGGTTCACAATCCGTCGAAAAACGGCTTTCTCGTGACGTTTTCCCAGTGGTTAACAGACAATAGTTGTTGGTACGAAGCTTTTAAGGTTGGACAAAGGTAGAACTTGGCCCAGGAGGCATACCCAGTAACATTTGTGAATTGCACCTGGCGCCGGGGTAATTGATTATAGAAATTTCATACAATACTCTGACGGCACAAGCAGACTCCATGAGTGATTACAGACTCACGTCTCTAATTAGTGGTTCATTGGTGACATACTAATGATTTTCTAACTCTTTACAAGTTGGGTCTTATTCAAGAGTAACGCCTGTTGTCATCTCTTAATTCATGCCTGATTGTGGAGCCTACAAGAATTAGACGTGTCAGAGTCGTGTGTGTTTTACCATATTAATGATCAATCCTTCGTGAAGTATTGTGCGTATGAAAAGCTCAGAAATTAACGAATTCGACTCGAAAAGAAGCAAATATACGGCTACCAATCTTGGAAGAGCCTCACAGGGCTTTCCACACCCACTGTTCCAACTTACACAGCTCAACTCCGAGTGGGTTTTCCTCGCAGATAGCGTGAATAACCAATGATGTTGTGGTTTTCGAAAAGCTAATTTTATTAGCTGCCATCTGGCGATTATGTGAAAACTACATCGAAACAATGGGCCACATGTAGCTGAAAGATAAGGTTGAACGTAAGAGTTTCAATGTGACACCTTTGCAGCTGATTTGGTGTACGAATTTCACAGATTATCCCTACAAAAACATGCAACCTTCTTTTGACGACACAGCGTCAATTTAAATAACTCGTTACAGTGAGACGAAACTGCGTTTTAAAAGATGTTAATGATTTTAAAATATGTGTCCTTTCTCAAAAAAGAGAGTTCCGTTTTTGAAAAAGAAGCATATATCTGCATGAGTAATGAGGTACAGAAATAAATAGAATTCATTGTTCTTTTCGCTAGTCCGTTATGAGTAAATTCTCTTTTGATTAAAACACAACCTCAAAGCGTGTTTATTTTCATTAAACGGCCAAGTGAACTAAAAAATCAAAAAGGGAACATGAATGAGAGAGAACGATATATCTTACTTTCAAACTGATTCTGCAGCAATAACACGAACGTCAAAATGAGAGGAGACATTTCTGATACATCTTACTTTTTTTAAGTCACAACACACCGAAGAGCATGTTTTGAGGCTATCGGAAACAACTATTGTGTCTGATTCTGTAGCCTGGATAAGTAGATTGAATTTGCTGTTTCATTATGATACAAATTCAACCTTTTAACTGCTGCTTAGATACGTTTAAAGGAAGCACACAAAGACGTGTTTTTTTTGTGCTTAAAGCCATATACACTTCGGAAATTGAACAAGGTGCCATGTTTCATGTAAAGTTTCGAGATTCCGCTTGAAATTTGATTGATATCTTCAAGAAAGTGCCTGTCTTTTATCATTTTAATAAAGTATCATAACACCAGATAAGCCTTTTGAGAAAGTCATAAGCTAATATGATTTCCAATCTGATTTAAACAGAACTACACCGACTTACTTGAAAAAAAATATATAATTTTTCTCGTAACGTTCATTGCAGTTAAAGCCGGAAAGGACTGGTTCGAGATTTTCAGGCGTGAATTTCGCGTATCATTAACTCTCTTCGATAATGTCACGTGACAGGGCAGTCAACTGGAAAATCGGTTTTGTACAAAATACGTTATAGCGAGGTAAACTTTGAGGAAATAACTCATTTGCATATGTTTAACCTTTTTTCTTTTATGCAAAGAGAAACCCGGTAAGAATCTGCACGATTCCAGAAGACCCATGGAGAAGTCTAACAAAGCGTTTCACCACAAATTACCAGGCTTCTAATTTTGATATAGCAACAGAAAAAGTTTTCCTGTTTTAGAACCTTACCAAGGTTATCTTACGATCTCCTTAGCTTTTTAAGAATATAAATGGGAACTTTGAAGTAAAAACTGAAATCCATTTTTTGGTGATGATGTTTTCTGGACTATAATTTTTAAAACATTATCATAAAACAAAAACAAGTGTCTCTCTTTGTTCGTGAATGTAATTGTGTTTTGATTGTTAATGTTTCCTGTCGGGCCTCTATGTGAGTTCCATTTTTAAACAAATTTAACAACTGTTACAGTATTTTTTATCCACGAAAGCAGCGAGAAATGTAACATGGTTCCTAAGCTTGAGCGAAGATTCGCCTTAACTTCTGAGACATTTGACATTCTGAAAAATTTTAAAATCTGCTAGTTGTATGTTATGCTTTGAGACAATGGTTTATCCCAACAAGGAATACGATTAGCTAAATAGGATATTTTTGAAAACACCTACATATCACTACATTTATTTAAGACGATTTTTTTCAAAGAAGAAAACTGCCCACTTCTTCTTTGCAACGCTTTCAAGGAAGCTTTAAAAGTTCTCTTTTCCATCCGTAATTGTACGTGTTCCAATTTTCATTATCAGAATTTATTTGGGTGTGTTCCATAATCGATCGTTAATAAGCAATCTTCGATCGAGTGTCAAAAGAAATCTGGGACTTTTCTGCTTTTGCCTTTTGACTCCGCTCTGTGACTGGTCTAGAAAAGTCACGCCATCCTCTCAACCAATCATATAAAAAACAAAAATCAGTCACGACCCATTAACCCGCGATTTCCCGCGCTTACGACATTCTACGACGATTTATCAGAAGGAAACAATGAAAGATAAAAGTACTCTTTGTCTCTTTTTGATATCTTCTTTTATCCTGATTAGCCGTTGCGAATGCTTTACATTATTTTGCGTTTTCATGACCCAGGAGAACATTTTACTTTATCAACATCTTGTAAAATGATCTGAGAAAGATAACATGACTTAATTAGCACGGCACCATTATGTTGTCAACAACATAAAGAATTAGATGCAAAAGAAAGGCGTTCTACAAATGGGTAACTTCCTGATGGTAAGGACATATGACAACTTGTAATTTTTCTTTGCTCCATTTTTGATGTAAGTATCGTGTCGTGTGGAGTAACTCGTCGATGCAGCATGAAATTCTCCCACACAACACTCAGCGACGCTGTTACCAGTTGATAGAATTGATATTTTTAGCGTGCATTATGGGAAATGTTCTTGACCCTTTCACCTTCAGAGTTGATTAGAGATTTTTCCCCTGACGATTTCTATTGATGATGTCGAATTTTTTTCAGGTAAATGGTGGGAAAGATACAGAGAAGTATCAAACGAGGGATATGGTTTGATTTCACAGCAAATTCTCAAGTCGGAAATAATAAGAATGTATCGTTAACAGCGCAGACAACTGATCTTTGAATCATTAGAGTACAAAATGTTTTAACTCAAAGTGAAGCTTTAACTTCGTTTGTCACAGCTGACAACGTCAAATTGTTGAATAGTGCGTGACGAGAACGAGGGAGAAGGGGCTGTAAGTTCAGTTCTAAGGAAACTGTGGTGCTGCGTTGGTGGGAGGTTTTTACAAAATAACCTGGTTTTATCAACTGAGTTGATAATATAAATTGGCCGGCGTGACTGAGGATTTTTTAAGCTAAAGTTTCAAGCGTTTGCCCTTCGTCAGAGCGAATGACGAAAGGCAGGCGCTCCAAACACCATAAGCTAGTTTGATTGACGATAGGCGATATCAGGCTACGGATTTTATATTGGAAGAGACCAACTTGAGTCAAATTTTTTTGCCGCCGTGGAAAACTATTTTGAACTTGCTGGAGACGACAAAATTAATTTTAATCTTTTTAGATACGAAAACACAAACGCGGCAAAAATAGAATCACCTGTGATGAATTTACCGCTTCATATTTACAGCGGAATTTTTCAGATAAATAATAGCTTGTAAGCATTTCTTTAAAAACCGGATAATTTTTATGTCAGTTCGAACTAGAATTGTTAATACACCTACGCATTTGACACAGACGGAATGTTTGCTAAATTGAGTGACAATACTTCTACTCCTTTATCTCCAAGTAGCACCGGTTTTTAATTAGTACTAAATATATTTCAAGGCTAATATTGCTAAACAAGCAAGTCTTTTTCCGCAACGGAAAATTCTAAATTTCACTTTCAACCTTAAAAAAAGAAAGCTAAGAGAGCTACCCAGCTGTTTCTAGAAAATTCCTTGTTATCAGAAAAGGGCTTTGCAGGCTTGAAGGAAATATCTAAAAAGTGACAGCTGTCGGGGAAGAACCTCTCAGAACTGAATTACGCAAGATAGAGAAAAAAAAAAAAAAGGACTGCTTAGGCGTAAAACACGAGCGGAAGAACTTATAATCATCTTACTGACATACGAAAGTACTTCGCTTCCTGTTAGGATTTTTCCAGAACAGCTCATTTAGACGGCTCTTTGCAACTCGAACGGGGCAATTAAAAAACCCTCATTCTACTTTTAGAACCAACGAGTTTTCAGAATCTCAGTGGTACAGCATCGCACCTCGAAATACGACAGTCTTAAGTTTCGATTCCTCTTCTCGGATATCTTTTGTTTGAAGCTTGTGTCCCCCTTAAACGTCAAAGTTCGTTCCGATAAATGAGCATTTGAGAATCTCTTCAGTTAATCATAGCTTACTACTCTCTTGAAATTATCCATTTGAGCACAGTGCGACGCTTTCTGTATGATTTGTCGAACTCAACAAACACACAACTCGAATAATTGGTAAATATTTGCAAGTTAGTTTACCAACGCGTTTTCCAAATTAGTTTGAGAGCATCAAACGGCGACGGAAATCCGAAACTCTGCCGCTTATGGCTCCTTTCTTTGGAGAAGTTTCTTCTCCTTTGGGAGGGATAAAATTTTAATTACTCCGTGTCACAGAGAGGGTGATTTTCTTTATGCACATAAATATTGGTTTCCTTAAGTTGAACATTGGTGGGCGATTTTGCGTCGCAAAAGGTTTTCGTTTCCTGTGACAGGTTCATTTCAGTTTTAGAGCCGACTTTGTTCTTTTGAAATTTTACTTCTGAAATAGTAGTTACCCTCTCTTCGCATTTTCACGGCGAAGAGTTGTTTCGAGTAGTCTAACGGCTTTCTGTTTTCAGAAATCTTTTTTTTCCACTCCCGGCGGATCGCGGAATGAAGGCATGTACATTTAAACTTCTCCGCTGTCTTAAATTTGATCCGGGTCTTATGGCAGTGAATCTTCTACTTCCTAAATCTTAAATCATTTTTTAACTTCGAGCTGTTTTTGTATCAGAGAATACCAAAAAAAAATAATATCCCTCATTTTCTCTTGAGGATATCTATTATCAGGATCAAATGTTCTACCGTTTCTCACTGGTCAGATTTGTTTCATTTTGCGATATTACTTTTGTTTTCGAACCTGAGATAAGTTTTTTTCTGTTTCCGAACTCGGTTTCTTGATCAGTGCTCGTAAAGATTTCTCTTTTTTTGTTAAGTGAGGAATATTTATTGCACAAATGTATCATTTACTTGAGGAAAGAGCTGAATAATTGACTTGTGTTTAAATTGAATCATTTGATAATTGACTCAACAGGTAACTCAAAGTCCAACTCGAATTCTCACGCTGACTCAAGCGTTCTTTACTCAGCACGTCACACGCCACACGCCACATAGATAGTGAATCTAACTGCTCTTTAGTCGAACGGTGAACGAAAGAGCATCTTATCTTTGCGCTTGTTTGGCCTTAATGCATCGAAACTGGTCGGAAAAAGGCATGGCTGGCTTCTTAACTGTTCCGTCGAAAGGGGAATTTTTTAACGCTTATGAAAGCAACTTTCCCTTGAATTTTATGCCAGACAAACGATTAAAACGTTGTGATCGATCTTAGGTGAGCTATCTTGATTCAGCGTACAGTGTTTGATGACCCTCAACAGAAAAATCATATTGCTCGTTTCCAGCGCCTAGCAAACACTCACAGTAAGCAAAAGGTGTCTAAAATTGCGATTTTTTTTCATTTTTGATCGAATTACTGTCTTTTTCGTCAGTAATTCCCAAGTTTTCTTCCCTTTCCGCTGATTATGCTCAGCATGTGACACTTAGCATAAAGAGAAGTAGTGAATTTTCAAAACGAAATAACACCTTCAACCATGCAAAACCGAAAAACTCTTAATTTATAACTACGTGTTTAATGATAGGGTGACAATAAAAGAATATAAAAAAGTGAGAAACTGATGCCAACTGGTCGTTGATATATCGAATTGTCCTTGTTATGGTAAAATGAATCTCATACTTAAGCTTACCAGTGTTCTTCCGCAGTCTCCTGTCGCAAGGTTCACTCAATAGTGCGAGGGAATGTCGTGATGTCTATAGTATTTAAGACTCAGTTCTATTCGTAGGGGGCATGCTCAATAATTAATCCAACTACTTCTTATATATCAATGTATATCTATCTATCTATCAATCCATCACCTGTTAATTAGGACTCCGCGTGCCGGATGTTTTTAAATTGCTGATTTTTCTCGGTAAGAAAGGATCCTTTGCCCAGTTACGGGATGATTTGATCTCCACTCAGCGAGTATTACGGCGGACTACCGAGCTAAGCTGGCAATAAAATATGTAGAAAAGTTCTTAAGCTTTTAAACCTGTTTGGGCGCAGAGGAAGAAGTGGAACTCAACATCGACCTGGCGTCTTTCCAAAAGAAACTCAAGCCCACTGAAGGAGATTAGATAACATTTGTAAAATTTTGTCTTCTTCTGGATTATTGTTGGTCTAGGTCTCGCCTTAAATCTATAGCTATGTGATTAAATCAACCAAAAAAAACCACCTGTGACACGGAACCTGCAAAATACTTCAACTCTCAAATGTTCCCAATTGAAACTGAAAAAGAGGCCGTTTACGCACTCAATTAGCCTTTCAGAGATAATTCGGTTTTATCAACTGAGTCGGTAATGTAATACAACCTTTTAAAGGATCTGGCTCACAGGAGTCGCATTAATGTATTAACGTCTTTTTCCAGCACGTTGTGGTTTAATTTCTGTTGCGAAGTGGAGCACTTTTAACTTAAGTATCATTCTTGATACTAAACTACTTGATATGTTGAGAATTTTAAGGTAAATTCTAGGGCGGCGTTCCTTCGCAGTTTCGCTTCGACGAAGGGCTAACGCTTAGAAACTCTTTGTGGTCAATTTACATTATCAATTAACTCAGCTGATAAAAAGAAATTACCTTGTTGCACTTCCGCACTGATGCAGCTCTACAGTTTCCAAACGTACCCCCTATATACATATGTCCTTAAATAGTTTGGAACATATGTGTTTCTTTACCTTGGCCACTATAAATTACGATTGCGTTGGTAAAACGAAATTATCGAGTTCCTTTACAGCCCTACTAATAAGATCACAATGTCGACTGCTTAGTTTGTGTCTAAATATATGCTGACCCTACTCAAAGACACAAGAACGCTCACCATGGAAGGGTGAGTTAATTGTAAATTACCGCAAACGTTAGTTTGTCTCTGTTTTTTGTGGGCAATATAGTTTGGATCATTTGTACTTCACGAATTACATAACGACGCTTATGTTGACGCTGGGCTCGATTCCTAGTATGAAGAATATTCTAACAATTTCTCAGTTTTGATCTCAAATCACGTAACTGATACTGATACACGATTGCAAGTAATTTTCTGGTTTAAAATTTTTTGGTATTTATTTTCGGCGGAACAGTTTCCGCGGAGTCATTTTTTATTCAGAACCGGTCGACGATATCAGATTGATTTCCCTACTATCTCGTTAAAATGAAGGATGTTTAATCTCTTAACTGTGACATTTCGCAATCTAATTATTTGTTAAAACATCTGCTTTGTTGTTGAAAAAGAATCGAGGAAGTGCTATTTATATGCAATTGACCTTTCACGGGATCACAAAATGAGTGTTCCTGTTCACGAACAGAGTTCTGAATGGCTACCATTTTTCAGCCGGGCGAAATACTTAAAAAGCCATGACATCCGTTCGAGCGACTTATCTTCCACGTAAGAGAAAATAGAGGGACATCGTTTTCTCTTGTTTGCTCTGAATTCTTGAAAAAGCAAACGTTGCACATGTGACATGAAACGAAGAAATGTTTCAGTGGTTGGATTCCATGAAATAAGAGCGAATGATGGAGGACTATTCTAGAGACATCGGCTTTATTCATACGCATCATCAACTCGGTAGATAAAACCAAATTATTTTTTACTACCCCCAGCGACGCAGCACCGCAGTTTCTTTAGAAACTTACTCCCTTCATTTCCATAAGACATTGCCGCGTGACTTCTCTTTCGTTGGCAAACAGAACGTAGGGTCTTACTCAAGAACTTGCCTGTTCCAAACACGGCTTAAGGCCGTTAGGGCGTGAGGATACTTTTTCGCTTTTTTTCAACCGAGAAGCCAAATTGAACGCTCGGCGCAACTCACGCAAAGTTTCTTAACTACTTCGTGCCACCTGCACTCGCCTGAAAAACGCAAACAATGGCCGTTTTTATGCTAGAGACGTTAAAGCTGTCTAAGACGTTAAAGTCGAGCATAAAAACGGCCAATGTCATTTGCTTTTCTGGCTTCAGAACTTCCTGAGCACGCTAATGACGTGACCACCCCTGATTGGGAACCAAGAATAGAAATGCTCGTCTCAGTAACATAATCCTTCCGGCTAGTAGTACAGCCGAGGAGTGCTAAGGACGAGTTTCTGAGTCAGGCGATTTTCGGAAATTGCCGGCTGTTCCAATATGATCGATCGTCTTATTAAAACCATCGTGGGGAAATCTACAAATTGCTACGGGGAAAGGGATCGACACTTAATCTTTCACTCACATGAGTGATCAAGACAGAATTTCTCCGAGCAATATAAATATAAATGATCGAGAAGATAAATGAAAAATTTCACTAAAGGGAATGCTAGTTGACATAATATCAATTCTCGGAACTAACGTCATAAAAATTGTATGGCAGCCAGCAAGGAAAATGACTCGGAGATCTCTGGAGTGAAGAAGTGCGTGCTCCTCACGTGAGAGTGGCCGAGGGAAATCGCATAAGGAATCTAACACACATTATAACACAGCGCGCGTGCTTGCCCTATATGAATCCTATTGAGCCGTGCGTAAATAAGATGACGTGAGCATTTTTTTTACCTTGCTTCAGAGTTTCCTTCCAGTTAAGCTGCAGTGTAATCTTCCTTCTCTTTGAAATATGGAAGAAACCAGCGAAGAACTGCCCAGTTTTTCTATCAGCATTGACCTTTTAGGTCCTGATCCAACAAGCAAGTTTCCTGCAGTCTGGCTTCTCTCTGGCTGTGCACGGCAGCGTAAACATGATTTTAAACAATCAAAACCCTTGATAAATTCGGGTCTTTGACTTTTAAAACATTTTTCAGTGACACTTGAGTTCATTTGGCTCTGATTTTCTCCATTTTCCTCGTAAATTTTGAGCTTTTCATTCACAGTTATCGGTTGACTGGATCAGATGTTCCCGCACAAACCAAAGTATAAAATGTGACGTGTTTTTGACCAGCCAATAGGGACGTTTGTTTACTTTTTTTGTGCGTTTTAAGAATTTTTCGTGCTCTCCAAACTTTCCGCGTGCATCCATAACTCGATATACGCACGCTAAGCATGAACAAATTCTTAACTTTCAAACCATTTGGAACGCTAAATTGCAGTCCGTTATCATTCAAACGTGGACGGAGAAGGCGATTAAATAATGTTAGAGGCAAAGGCACGAATAATCCTCCTAGTTTTCACTCTCATAGAAAATTCTTTGTTACTTTAGTTTAATACACTAATATAAATGTTTAAATTAGTTTCCCTCTGTCTCACACATAACGCAAAACTTATACACGCAGTGGCAGGTGAAATCAATTAATTTCTACAAACGAAACTGACTCTCTGTTTTCATATCTCTTTGCACAGTATATACAATTCTTAAAAAATACGTCTTTATGATTTTCAGAATTTGTTAGCTACGAAGGTCCTAGTTTTAAATCCTTGACAAACTGAACGTATATATTTACAACGCAAGTGATGTTTCATTTCTCTCTCTCTCTCTCATCATCGTAAAACAGAGGTTATCAGTCGTCCACTTTAACGAACACTTTAGGTCGAGAAAATATCTTAATAGCGTCCTCTATCTCTGCGAGTTTCCTTTCAAGGTCAGCTTTTGCAGTCTTTACTCTCAGTGTGTCGACTCGAACGGGAAGTGCGTTTAGTTGGGCGAGAAGTTCTGTTTGATCTGTAAAGAAAGAAAAATAGTAAAAAAGATAACGTTACATCAATTTTCCACCAAGAACGTTCTGAAAAGAAAGTTCTGCTCTGGGTACTTGAGACCTTCGCATTAACAACTAAACTACTGCCCAGGGCGAGATAAGTGTGATATTTAAGTGCCACTAAGAGCGGTCCTCTCAACTTCCCGACGGAAAAAAGTTCTCTTTTATTTTTTGCCCATGAAAAGGGTTTAGGGCACATGTTCCAAAACTTGTTTAGTTGTTCTCCAATTCTCTTTTTTGCGTCGCCACAAGCCAAAAATGATTTTTGGCCAGACCACCCCTGTGGACAGCGATCGAAAGTGTAAATTTCAAAGATTTTGTCCAGCGCGCAGCGACTGTAACAATGTAACTCACGGGATTCTATCTTGCTATAAGTTACAAGGTGTATTCATTTAGTTCACAGACAAAATATGAAAACTTCAGCTGAAATATTTTTCATACCAGCGTGATCAGAGGAGACCCTTCTCTTCAAACTTAATTTGCATATCAAGAACTCGCTACTTTGTACGAAAGAATTCTCAAAATGCAGGCATTAATCGGGCTGAAAAAGCATATCAGTGCATAGTTTATACACCAACGAGGTCACAAATTGCCTCAAACCCGCGGGTATATCTCTAGCTTCCATCCACCAACCTCTTAAAAACAACGCAAATCCATGTGTTTGCTCAATTGCGCTCGTGTCATAGATCATTTGCATGACTCTTAGAATTGACCAAGATCTCCTTTTGACCGTTCAAACTTCGTTCGTTTATCTTCTACGTTGAGGATTAAAGGTTTTCACAGCAACTGAAAGGAGATTAGATGCCGAGTTGTCCTGAATCGTTGCGTAAACATGATCGGTCGTAACGCTTGCGCGCTTGCGTGACTTACAAAGTAGACAAAAGTGATCGGAAGGCGCCTCGATAATTTACGTTGAAATATCAGGTCATGAACTACGCACAGTGTGGAGAAGATCAAAATTAAAGAATAAAACTTGGTACTCTGGTCATAACAGACATATCGCGTTACTTAAAGGAAACAAAAACAAGTTAAAATAGATTGCAGGGCGTGAAATTAATTATTTTTTCTGATAGCCACTTGGCTTCTAAATTCTTCAAAGTGGTAGCCAATTCAAAAAAAGTTGGTCGCCATTTTCAAAGACAAACAAAATCTTTCTTTACGCTGTCAGCGTTCTAGAGAGACCCTCCAAAATTAAGTTAGGGAAAAGATCCTTAACGTGCTACCAAGTGGACACTAGGATGGATGATATACAACATTAAAGCTCATCTAAATCCAAGATGGCGTTTAGTTATCGATCGAGATGCATGTGCTACGTTTTGGAAACAAACTTAACGAGGAAGTTTGCCGCGGGTTTATATTTGCGAATCTTTTTAATTCACTATATCTCTTGGTAAGGTTATGATGAAACGTTTTAGTCGCCAATTTGGCGACTAACTTTCAGGATTTGGTCGCCAAAGTGAAAAATTTAGTCGCATTGGCGCCTGTATTAGGCGCAATTTCACGCCCTGGATTGCAGTGTTTATATTTACAAAACAACACGCATACTCTCCGAAACAATTCTTGGAGTTTCTCCCGAGAGTAAGTTAAGTTGTATCGTCTTCTTTTGCAAATCGACTTCCGGTGAGACGGATGGATATTACTAATGACGAGTCGTGTCGACCCGTACAAATCGTGTCGATTCGTCAACATTTAATGCCCCTATTTAACGCTTTAGGAAGGAAAAAAGGTTCATTTTAATATTTAGAATATTCTGACAATGGACCTCCGACCGTTTTACGCTTTGAGGAAGTGGAAGGTTTACGTTGTCACTTTCTCTTTTTATCCTACTTTTACTTTCATACATTGCTCACGCCCCTTGACTTCCGGTATGTTAACGCACGATTCTACTTCCGGTGTGTCGATTCGTCAACGGCTGTGGACGAATCGTAGTGGTTTGGGTGTATTGGACGGGCGCGTCAGCCACGCGTTTAAACGCTTGTTAAACTCGCGATCTTAGTCGCAAATCTCGGGCGTCCTTAGCCTTGTTTCCATCCTTAGAGGATTTACTTTACTTGAACCCCGCACAAAAGCATGACCAACACATGTTTGAAACTTGAGCAGATCTCACGCGCCTTAAGCCTGATTCCAACGATAAACTTTAACTTACTTTTTTGAAGGTCTGCCAGAGTCTGTAGCCGTTCTTCTCTGGGCATCAGAGTGTGTCCAGGAGGTATACTTGGATCTGGTGTGTTGGCGATTCTTATTCTTTCTTCCTCCTCCCACTGTTTTTGACGCTCTTTCAGGCTGCAAATTAATCACATTCATAACTTTCAGCCACGCCGCTGGTTTGAGGTCCTAACAAAACAACGCTGGAACATCAACCATCTGCAGACATCATTGCAACGAAAGCAAATTCTCCTAAATTATTACAAGACTTTTGTTATTGTTCTGATCTGCGATCCAAATTCTAAAACCAAATTCCCACAAGTTATTCATCAATACCCATGAATACAGAAAAAAAATGTAGCCTGCAGTACAAGCATCTTATTAGAGCGAGTTGACATCATTAAGTTCGCGATCGTTCATTCCATCCGTCATATTTGATTTGGAGCTGGAGTGGACGGTGGGGGGGGTGGGAAAGAGGAAAAACTAATATTCATTACCCCACCCTCGCTCCTCTCCTTCTTTTGATCGTCACTCACCCCCTTGGTACAAATTTCTTTCTCTCCCCAGCCTTTCACTGCTGTAAAAATCAAAGATGGCAGCCATGATTTTCCCAAGATAATACTCAACACTCGCCCGCCAAAATTACGCCTATTCTGCAGGCTAGTAAAACTGCACTCACTATTTAGGTACTTTTCCTTTCTGGTATCGCTTTTCTTGCTCTTTTTTCTTGGCTGCTAATTCTTCTGCTGCGATAACTGAGGGCGGGCGGGGTCTAAGAGGTGAAGGGGCTCGGCGGACATTTTGGCCGATGTGGTTGACATTTTTAACTTGGGGTTTGTGCTGAAATAAAACGAAATTATTGGACATGATGGATACACTACCATAGTTAAAAGTAAGGATATCTAAGTTTCAAGGGAATAACTAATTGTTGTTACATGTATATCTTGAATGTCTAAAGTTGTATCATTGTTCCGAGAGCACAACAGTTGTCTCTCACTAGGAAGAAACAAGGAAGAGGGCTTGACGAACCCCTTGCAGGGTAATAAGCAACTTTTCTGCCTAATGATGCCTGAAGCTCCAAACAAATACATGTATATTCACTCTTTCATATCCATAAGTGATCATTTGGTAATTAGAATTCTCTTTACAATATTTTCATACACTACCAAACAGACAGATTATCTCTGGAGATAATAATATATAATGCTAACTTGATTGAGGTAACTAACGAAAACATGTATTGTGTTCAGGGAGGAAAGTTTGATTCTGATATTATGCCAGTGAAAGGGAGAACTAAAGAAGCATTAGTTTCTAAAGAAACTGTGGGGCTGCATCCTTTAACCCTTTAACTCCTATGAGTGACCAAGACAGAATTTCTCCTTACAATATCAATACAATATCAACCAGATAAGTGATGAGAATAAAGAAAAGTATCAATTTAGGGATAATCAGTTGATTCAATACTAAATTCTCTGAAATAACATTACAAGAATTGTATGGTTGACAGTAAGGAGAATTACAAATTTGATCTGGGAGTTAAAGGGTTAGGGGTATAAGTGGATAGTTTGGTTTTATCACCTGAGTTGTTAACACTTAAACTCCCAGAAGTGATCAACATGAAACTTCTCCCCATAATATCCTTACTTTATCCAGCAAACGGGTAATGAGAATATTCAAACTAATCAGGTAGAAGTTGTTATCTTGATCTAACACCAAGTTCTCATAATTAATTTACATGGAAATGTGTGGCAGGTAGAGGGGAGAATTAACAATCAGATCCCTTTAGTTAAAGGGTTAATGTAAATTGGTCACTGTAAAAAGTTTGGAAAACTGACATTTTGAGCAAAGGGCCTAGACACCAGCTTTAGAAACTCTGAATTATGTTGTAAACACAGATGTAGAACTTACCTCTTTAGCTATGGTTGCTTTGGGAACAGTCAGTTTCATTTCACGAGGTACCACTGGTTCACAAGAAGTTGGGCGGTCCTTGACTGGGGGACCATTCCTTGAGCCAGCTCGCAGAAATGTGGCAGAGTTGGAACGCTTTAGAGACGGTGGGGCTGCCTAAACCAGAAATAAAATGAAAAAAACAAATACAAATATGACAGAACTGTCGATAAAAGCTACCAGCCAATCAAAACTTCTAGCTGGTCTGCCATCTTTGGTGGGCTACTTTTGCCTTGTTTGACCCCAAGTGCTGATCATAAACAATAGAGTTATTAAAATACCATAGAAAAAGTTTTTGCAGCAGCCATTTCCCAATTTTTAGCAGAATTGAATGCTTAATTTTACCAGTAGTGGATTTAGGGAAAAGACATGATCCTCACAAGGTGAAGGAAAGTAAGAAAAGAAAATTTCCATTGCAGAAAAGCCTGAAAAAATTCAGGCTATGAATTCTGCCTCCCAGATACTAGTTGGGCACCATTACCAAATAAGTTACAAAGTGACATGTTGGGAGTGGCACAAATATTGGTGAGTTTGTTTGGGCTCAGTTAACATCTATGGTTAGATAATGTTATTCAGTGGTCAGATAATTGTTACCAAAGTGGATAACTTTATCAACCTTTTGAACAGACCAAGAGGTGGCACCCTTCCATGAATTGCTATATAAATAGCTACCTTGGTAATTTAAAGTTAATTAATTCTTTTTGTTCTACTTGCTGTACTTTTACTTTCTACTTCATCTGTACTATTGATTTTTGTTTTATTCCTCATGACTCTCTTTTCCAAGTTAGGTACATGCTGATGCCTCTTAAAAATCTATTGACCCTATAACTTCCATAAGAGACTGAGATGTAATTTCTGCTTACAATAAATTACAGTATAATATCAAGCAGACAAGTGATGAGAGTAAAGAAAATAACAATTGGGGGATTATTAGTTGATCCGATACCAAATTATCTAAAGTAACATCATAAGAATTGTATGACAGGCAGTAAGGAGAAAGTTTCTAAAAAATTTCTGAGACCTTGAAAATTGAAAGAGTTAAAACCTCATGTGGATATGCCTATGGTATAAAGAAGCCATTCATTCAAAAAAGGTTCAAACCATAAAACCATGAAGCAATATTCTACACACCTTAATTTCCAGGGCCACCTTGGATTCAACAGAATCAAACTTTCCTGGTTTATAAACAGCCTTCACTGGTTCACTTGGGGTAGACCCTCGCTGTTTTTCACGATTTGCTTTCTGTATTTCTTTAATTCGATGGACATTTTCTTTTGCAAAATTCTTGTTTTGCGCTGAAGCTAAGAACAGAGATGAAAGTATGCATTTATAAAAGATCAAACAATTCAGAGCACCTGTAAATTTTTCAATAACACATCAGAAACATGACATGTGCTAATCTAAAGCTTGTAATTCTTTAGTATTTTTCGATCTATTATCAGCCAAAAATTTGTTAGGGCCTGAATACTAGGACACAATGTCCAAGCACTCACTTTTGCCACAAACGATTGTCAGAAACACGTAGCACATCAGGAAATAACTAAACTGATTCACAAGCGTTCACTGAATACTGCAATAAACACTACAGGCAAGAGCTGCATTAATCATCAAAGAAAGCAGGAAACTTAGATGACTACTTTTCTGCACACAATAAAGTTTTGCTTGGGCATGAATTTACACTGGTTTATATGTGGAGGTGATACTAAAACGAGTCTATGCTGATCACACCTTTAAACTGGCGTGATTAATGAAATTATTGTAAGCTTAAAATTCACCTGGTCTTGATCCGACGGAGTAAGGTCTTGCCGAAGGATTAAACAACTGCGCTAAGGTTCCCTGGTTTTTTATCGCATTTGAAAGTGCTTCAGGTTTTACTCTAGCCTTTGGTAGCCTTTCAGCGTACACTGGACTGTATCGATCTTCGTTTGTAGGTCTTCTTGTATCAAAACCTGGATCTGTAGGTATCGTCCAAGTCGATAACATAGTTCTCGAAAACTCGACTTCCTTTCTTTCTGTGTCTAATATCAATCATCAGCAAGCTGATCACGAAAGATCATCGTTTCATTTCGATGTGTCATTGCTTTGTTTCCGTTTTAAAATCTTTTTACGAGAGATCGCGATGAATTTAACAAGATTTTTGCGGCCCTAAGACAATACAAGATCACTTCCTTCAGCTATTTTCCGTTGGTATGCTAAACAACTCTAAAGCATTCCCAGAATGCTGCGAAACGTTGCCATGTGACCGCTGTTCATAGGGATTACTGTCTCGTACACTTATCCCCAGTGCTCCCTCATTGGTGAACAAGCAGGATGGCCGATGGTTTGTCACTGCTGAATTTAAAGACCTGTCGGAAACAGAATAATAGCATAGATATCAAATAGCGATTGTGAAATGTTTGTCTGGAAATTTTGTTATTCTTATGTCTGGAAGATTCGTATCTAGCCAATCAGCGTTCTTTTTAACTAAGGTGTCCCGCAAAGATAAGGAACAATTGTCTGTGATTTATTTAGCTTTCAGTCGAAGTAATCTTTCATATCAGTCGAGTCGAGGAGTTGTGACAGTTGTGAAACCTAGTGAGAATAGAAGAGGAGAAGAATAAAAATCTAGTGAAGACGAGACAGTGTGGGCTATCCTTACTAATTCCCCACAGACCTTTTCGTGCCAGTTTTTGTTTCTTTCTTTCTTCTAGAACTAGAACCACACGATTCAGTTCGAAATCTTTTCTTCAAAAAAGGAATATCGAGAGATGTTTTTGAAGATGTCCCTCAACTGATTAAAAAAGGGATTAAAGTTAGATATTGCCCAGAAAAATTAGAGTTCGGTTCCGTCAAATTTCAATGTTTTAATTCAAGCCTCTTCAAGGTGCGAAATGATTTACAGTTTTCCCTAAAGTACACGTGTATAATGCATAATGCTCCATTCCACCTCCTTATACTCGACATTTCATGCAGCGACACGTGTACGCAGTTTTACTAGAAGCTAGACGGCGGCCGGCACAAGACGCGCACCCAAGAGACAAGATTACCGTCGGCGCCTGCAGACTGAACGCCGCGTGTCACAGTCGGCTGAAACCAGTCCCGCGGCCGAACGCAGCTTTTCGCGCCTTATAGAAGGACGGGAATGTCTGATTACTTATCGCTGATCGTTTCCTTCGAGTTAGTAATGGTGAAGTAATTTAACAGGAAAAAATCATAATTGTTAGCTTTTTATCGTACGTGACGGGGTTTGTCATCCTATGTGGACCCAAAATCCAGTCCTCTTATCTGAAATCAAAAGTGCAGTGGGGTAGTTAAAACTGTTATAGCAGGAGCTAGTTCTTCTTTCAGAGCCTCCTTTTATCTTTGCGAACGCTTTGAATTCCGCCGTTATGCTTTAGTTCGGTAGAGTGTTCGGATCAATGCCTGTAACCCAATAACAGTCAACTGATATCCAGTCAGGTTTTCTTGTTGGGTTACGGAAGGGGTAAGTGCGCGGTTGCTCCGATTGATCACATGCAGCATTCGGGGTACAACAGTCGCCATTCTTTCTGCATGCTTCGGGAATGGAATAAAGGGAAAAAATCAAATAGAAGAGGAAATTGAAAAAAATAAATAAATAAAAGGTAAAAAATAGTAAACACAACTAAATTATCATTATTAGCAACTCTCGCGAAAGCGATCCTTAAGGACGAGTTATTTTTTATATTTTATCAAACTTTATTCGTGCGTTTAAAAACAGTGATATCATTTACAATATATGTCACTGTGGCCGTATTAAATAAGTAAGTGATTATGGATTTACGTGCACGTGCTGATGTAATTAATCCAGCGGAAGTCATAAGCTTGTTTTGTTTCACTCATTTAGTTACCGAGTGGCAATTTCTTGATGTATGGACCAATGAGAACTTATCTGTGATTTCAATTTGCTTATTTCCTCATGCAATTTACTTCCTACGGCGAGAAGTCATTTAGACCAAATGGGTCGGGATTCAAAAAGGACCACCACAAAAACAAAGCTTCAGTTGTAATCAGAGTTTTTCCTCATTCTTTGGAGTTAAGACTGCATTTGCGGCGGAATTCCTGTCCTCGAATATGTAACCATTTGTTGGCCACTAAAGAGGAAACGAGGAAAAACATCGCTATTAGACAACCAAAACATATTTTGATCAGAATTATATACCCAGATTAACATAGAGTCTTTAAGAATCACAAGGAAGACCATGTTGTCCAAGAACTGAGTGTTACTGGATAGGAGTGGACTGAGAAGATTTGAGGGGTGAACGTTGGAGGAGGGGGTAGGGGTGAGGGGTGAGTTTTTTTGGGTGAGCTGAAAGTGGTGAGTGAGTTTCACCCTCAGGTTTTGACCTCTTTGAATAAATCTCGCTGTGCAATTTGGGGAAGATTAGGGAACAGTTAAAAGGAAGTTCGGCTGGGATAATGATAATCATTTTCTCATACTTTCGGACAATTGTATGCGTTCACCTGTCACTTGTCTCTTTTTCAAACTATTTCTTTAGAACAGTTCTTTGAAACCGGCCGTCATTTACAAGAAGCCCAAACTACTTGGAACCGCTTACGGACTTAAAACCACCCAATCTAGAATTAGGTACCTGGCACCAGTGCCCCTAAAGACTCACCCCATTTATTTCCACAGAGGACTGGACAGGCTGCATGCTCCGTTTCATAATCACCCTCTCCTGATCGTTTAAGATTGTACCAAAACGCTGCGTCTCCCTATAAGCCAACAGATACAAATTACTTGCAAAGAGATGAAAGATTTCTTTTAAGGAGAAAATTGTCGTTCGTGTTTAATTCCTCACCATTGTCGGGCTGATATAAGTCTTCGCTCGCGTAAAAACTGTGTAACCTCCCCTGCTGACGTCATTCAACTGCATTTCAAGAAAGTTGAAAAGGAAAAAAGGATGAAAATAAGGTCAGGAAGTTTAATATTCTTACGTTAGAAGTCATTGAAATCCTTATTCCTCGTCTAGAAAAGATCAGTAGTGTAGCGTTCGAAATGTCGACGACTCGTTCAACAGTTGTTCATGCATATGAGATACGCGATTTAAGGTAATACTGAAAAATAAGGTGACGGAGAACATGAATTTCATTTTGAAATAAGAATAGATTCTTACATAAATGAGCACAGTAGCGACGCGATTTCCATTCGATGACAAGTCCAAAGGCGAACCTGGATCCTGGAGAAAAAAATAGGAGGCAAGCAGATAAAGACTTATTTTCAGTGTTCATTTTGAGAATCTTCTTGTACCTTATCCCCAGAAGACCTTTGTAGTCTAGTGTCGAAATGTCTAGACTCTCTTCCACTTTAGGCTGTACGAGAAAAAAACTTCTCTTTTTTATTTGTTATTAAATATTATGGTGATCAGTACTTACTCCAAAGTCATGATGAAATTCGTACTGTCCTGCCATTCCGTAATTTGCAATCTAAATGAAAAAAACGAAGCATATCATCATCTACAATCGCGTAGAAGGTCGACATGTATAAGGAATAAGTCGGTCAAAGTGTCGTGTTCTTAACGACTAAAACTACACGAGGCAAGTTGCTTCATTCAACTTCTTTATTCAACTCCCTACTTACAGGATATACTTACAATAATATAGAAATCTCGCCAAGCTCTGCGTTATTGACGAACTTCCTTCAGCGTGTGTTTTATTCCATTTTGTTTCATAAAATCTGCGAATTCTCGCGAAGTAAACTGTGGACTATTGTCGCTCACTAATTGCATCGGTACACCGTATCGAGCAAGCATATTTCTCAGTTTCTCGATCGTTGACTCACTGGTCACGCTAGGCATTATTTCCACTTCTAGCCATTTGGAGTGACTATCGACCACTACAAGAAACATCTTATTCACGAATGGACCGGCGAAATCGATGTGAATTCTCTGCCAGGGCGTGTCTGGCCAATCCCACGGATGCAGTGGTGCGATTTGCGATTTGATTGGCACTCAGCGCAATCGCGTACAACGGAAGCGATTGATTGATCTAATTTGGGCCACTTAACATGGAGTCGTGCGAGTGACTTCAATCGCACAATTCCAGGATGCCCTTCATGCAACTCCTGCAAAACTCGTTCTCGCAACGAACCCGGAATTATAACGCGAATTCCCAACAACAAACAACCGTCTTCTACAGTGAGTTCATTCCGTCGCTGATAATACGTTTGAATAGTCGGATTTTCGTCATCGGTCTATCCTGTCATTGTATACTCAACTACTCTGGACAACCATAGTTAGTAGAGGAGACTAACTACTCTACTAACTATGGGACAACACAGGATCCGCACGTGTAGCCTTTCGAATCTGACCCGCGGTTAATGGCAAAGATCCAATTTGTAAGGAATTTATCAACTTAACTTCATCGAATTCCTCTGATTTGCTTCCAACGGGCAACGGCAATCGGCTTAAACAGTCTGCGTTCGCGTGTTTCAGCGTTGAACGATACTCGATCTCGTACTGATATGCCGACAACAAGATTGCCCATCTCTGCAGTCTCGCGGCAGCTAGAGTTGGAATATCGCTTTTCGGACCTAGCAACGTCACTAAAGGCTTGTGATCGGTTACCAACAAAAATTTGCGTCCGTATAGATATTGATGAAATTTCTTAATTCCAGAGATTATACTAAGGGCTTCTTTCTCGATTTGCGCATAATTTCTCTCACTCTTGTTCAACGTGCGCGAAGCGAGTGCGATTGGTTTCTCCTCGCCGTTCGGAAACACGTGTGAAATTACCGCTCCTACACCATATTGCGATGCGTCAGTATCTTAAGAGGTAAATTATTCTGATAATGCACCAAAACTGGGGCTTTCGCTAATTTCTCTTTAAGCTTTGCGAATGCGTTCTCTTCCGATTTCGACCACTTCCATTTAATCCCGTCACGCAATAGTTCATTCAATGGATGCGTTACCATTGAATAATTGCTTATGAATTTTGAATAATAGTTAACCATCCCAAGAAATGATCGAAGTTGCTGCTGATTTTCAGGAGCTGGCGCGTCACGAATTGCCTGAACTTTCTTCTCAATCGCGTGCAACCCGCTTGCATCGACTCCTTATCCTAGATACTCAACTGATGGTTGCATGAATTTACATTAACTTAGCTTCAATCTTAAGCCTGCGTTTTTCAGCCTCGTCAACACCTCGTTGAGATTACTGATGTGCTCTTGATCGTTTTTGCCTGATATTAAAATATCATCCACTCGGCAAACGACCATTGATATTGCTTGCAATACTTGCTCAATCTAAGACTGGAAAATTGCACTCGCGCTGGAAACGCCAAAAGGTAGTCTAGTAGGTCTATATAGTCCCTTGTGGGTATTGATTGTTACAAACTCCCTCGAGTTTTCTTCCAGCAATATTTGCTGATAGGCGCGCGATAAATCTAGCTTCGAAAATTTTTCTCCGCCGCTCAAAGCAACGAATAACTCCTCTGGATTTGGAAGCGGATGTTGGTCTACCTTCAAAGTCGAGTTAACTGTCACTTTGTAGTCCCCACAAATCCTTACGCCCCCATCTGGTTTAACTACGGGCACTATGGGCGCTGCCCAGTTAGAGAAACGAACTTTCTCTAACACTCCCATATTCTCTAGTCGATCAAGCTCTTACTCAATAACCCCCTTAATTGCATGTGGCACTGGTCTAGACTTATGAAATTTGGGTACAGCTCCGGGTTTAACAAACAATTGAACCTTTGCGCCCTTCAGTGTTCCCAGTTCATCCTTATATACTAACACAAACCTAAGTACAATACAACACAAACCTAAGTACAATACTAACACAAACCTAAGTACAATACAACACAAACCTAAGTACAATACTAACACAAACCTAAGTACAATACTAACACAAACCTAAGTACAATACAACACAAACCTAAGTACAATACTAACACAAACCTAAGTACAATACTAACACAAACCTAAGTACAATACTAACACAAACCTAAGTACAATACAACACAAACCTAAGAACCAATCTTCAAATATATATATATATATCAAGTTAATCATCAGAGAAATTGGAAATTGATATTTTTCGTCGAGTTTCTCGGGATATCCCTAGGCCAAATACTAATTACACACCTAATTTTATCTTAGCTAACAGTTTTCAGGGGGTTCGTATCTCTCACATAACACTGGGGTTGATACCTGTAATGGTTCCGCTGTGTCCATTTCCAGACCTGTTGCGGCACCAATTCTTCTATTAACTGTTGCAACGACTTCATCGTCCCAACTTTCCAGCCAAGCACTGTTATTACAAAAAACATTGGACTTTATCAGGAGCCCATCACTTCCTGACTTTATATAACTCCGCTAGTTCTTTCTGCCTGAGAGATTCCAGATCGGCTTCAATAAGTGATCACAAGAGATCATGAATTGTTCACATTTGTTTGATGAGCAATGAGGTTTTCCCTGTTAAATCGTACCTCTCGAATCTAAGAACTTAACCTGAGCGCACAGAAGCCTTTTAAATGGATAACGGTCGATTTAGCATCCGATATTTAAACGATTCTTATTGATGATCATTGTCGTTGTGTGACAAAGATCAGACTACGTAACGTAAGTCATTTCCTCATTCAGAAATGGCTACCTTTTGCTTACTCTATAATCCGCGTTTTCTAGCTTTCCTGTTTGTCTGTTAAACACAGTGGCTCTTTGAAGCTGCAAATTTAAGGGTAACAAGTAATTTGTGAGTCACCTTTGTATAAAGGGGAGATGACTGTGTTGCTTGAATAAGCAGCCGGATTTCATGGATTTCACCCCATCATTTGGAGTAGTTTGCATTAATCAAAGGCTGTATTGATTTATCTGCATTCAAATTTATTACTTTTATCAGATTTTCACATCTCAATCCGGCGATAAACCGGTATAATATTGTATAAAAAGAATGATGTAGCAATAGAACTACTCTTATGTAACGTACCATGGGTGTGGCTATCTCTTTGATTCTTTCAGCTTCTTTCGTACTTAAAAGATCTCTGAAGATTAACAACTCAGGCTTGCGCCAAATCATTTCCACTTTGATTGGTCTAAGTACGAGTAATGGACTCTTCTTTCCGTGATACCAGCATTGAAGATCTCCTTGAGGAGTACTCTAAGTTAAGAAACGACGCAATCTAAGGAGGAGTGCCCTAGTATCACGGAAGGGGGGAGGGGCCGGCGGGCGGCGAACAGGGAGGAGAGCCTAAAGACGTTCAAGCAAAGGTGTTTAAAATCTAAGAGAAGACTTGTTTTCCCAAAGAAACCGCTTTACGTTTAAAAAGAATATGGCGAAAAATATTCCTACTGGCCTACTTCCCATCACGTATAGCCTCAGTGATGTTGACCCGGCAGCTTAGATGTGATGAAGAGAGATATTGAGTGAATTCAGAGTGTGTCTGAAAAACCTTTCCAATTCTGCGACATAAACCCAAAATGACTGGTACCTGACTCGTATCACCCCTGCACAAAGTCGCGTACTTCCCACTTTTGAACGTCTTCGTGTTGATTTCTTCCTCTTTTGCCTTTATTTGGTCATGTGTATCACGTGTTCCTTGTTCCACCATCTCCCTGTAGTGCATGACATTTTCCTTCGCCTGTTTGTTATGAGGAACTAAGCGAAAATGCGCGAAAGATTTAAAAATGAAAATGATGTTAAAAAAATTCACTCATGAGCTCCAAAATTGATCAAGACTTACCAAATTGCAGTATTTCCAAGGTAAGATTGAGTGCTCGCTCGGGATTTCCTTTCTGTATAAAAATAAATTAAAAAAAAAAAATCAAACATCAATTTAGTTTCTTTGTAGTCGAATGTCTTAGGTGAGGTCAGATATTAACAGGTTGATACAGAAGGTCTGGGTACATAACCACAACACGTTTCCAGTTTTTCTGCAACCATTTCTCCTATATACACATCAATATAAAGGTATTCCTGGAAGAGATGCTTTAAAAACAAATACTCTGAAATGCAAAGGGAATCTCATTGGACTTCTCAGCAGTAAAAAACCTAAAAACAAGGTTGAGAGCGCTAAAGGGAAAACTGACTGTAGGTTATACTTTTCGCTCCTTTTCAGTAAGGGATCTTTCACTATCTATCGCCTGAGGGGGGAGGGAGATTTTTGGGGATCACATGGATTACAGAGGGAACGATGGGAGAAGCAGTGGTCGCCAACAGAGTAAAAAAAGCGGGGTATAAAAAAAATTGTATACCAATGAGGGGGGGGGTGGGGGGGGGGGGCATGAGGATATTGGGATCAGGTAAATTTTATGATGAATCATCCAAAATTTCCTCTCTCCCTCCTCCCAGGTGATGAATAATGATCAATTCCTTAAGTATACCCTTAAACTTAGAGAGGATAACCGCTCTTGTTCTAACTCTTACATAAAGCTTGATATCACCAAAATATTACAGAGAAAATGTTGAGTTAAATGAACTTACAACGTATTCGATCCATGCCAGGTATTCTAACACTTCAGTTCGATTCACTGCCCCATCATGTCTTCCTTCACGTATGAACGTTTCTGCTAATCTAAGCCAGTCTCTTGCCTGTGTGTATCGACCGGCTTGATACGCCACAGTTCCAAGATCGAAACAGTCTTCGGCTAAAAGCTTTGGAGCGGCTCCGCAACCTAGAAGATGATACATGAAAGCAAACCTGGTGTGATAAAATGCTGCTGAACTGTAGCAGAATCGAAAGTGAATCGTGCAGAGGAGAGAGAGTAAAACCCTGAAAACTTTCATATGCTTCCCGGGACCCATCCTTATCAGGGTGTGGCTTGAGGCGACTTCAGGCATTGCTGCCCCACCTGCAACGATGGGATCTTAGTCCTTCGAGACCCCATCCAACCTCCCCTTCGGCGAGTCGTTAAGGTTTCTTGTCAGTTCTCCAGTACTTTATACTATTTACATGTACGTGGAGAGAGTTTAGTGTCTTGCTCAAGAACACAAAAAAATGAAATTCTGCTGAAGTTCGACGGAGTCAGAGCACTAAATATCAGTTCACCTGGTCTCTTGGAGAAAACACAAAAGTAGATCGATGTCAGTATCTGAATAACTGCGTACCCCTGACCCAAAACAGTCAACTGATAAGAAATAACGGTTGATGTCGTGTTAGGGGGAGGGGTAAGTGCGCAGTGGCTAAGATACTGACATTGATCCACAAAATCAATTCATTAATTTGTGAAAGGCCTCTACGTCGCTCACCTATTATGTTATTATCAGCCATGTCAACTGCAGATATATTATAGGTATCTTGGAGCCGAAACATAGCCGCCATGGCACCCAGAAGATCTTCATTGTGAGTTGGAAACTGCCATTTGTTTGACTTTAGTAGATTTTGTAAATCTGTGGTAGAGATGTGATAGGTCAAAGCTTTGCTACTTCAATCGCAAGTTACACTCATGGATTTTAGCGATCTTCAAACTGGTCACTACATTTATTGAGATGGTGACGTAAGTCTCCTTAACCCAATGACAGAGTGCGCTGAGTAAACGTCGTCAGTCGCCGCCCTTCTACTCTCATTGGTTCATTTCATTTCCGCGTTGATTTGCTTTACATTGATGGAAAGTATCTATAAGACTGAATTTTCACGGCAGGATATCGGCTTTGAACAAAAAATATTCAAAGCTGATAACTATCAGGCCGCAACTGAAAACCTCTTAATAAAAAAACGTGGAAATCTGATCTGGTAAATGATGATCTTGTCAAGAACAAAAAAAAAAGTCTCTTACAAACGCCTTAAACGATTCAGAATATTTTTTCTGATTGCTTTAATTATATCGCGAAGTTTTCTGATTTGTCCGCCGCGTGCTTGTATCACGATTTGTATTTATTGTTTGTTAGTATAAACAATGCGACCGCAGCTCTTCCTGCTAAAATCAGAGACGGAGAGAAATGAAAATTTGCAATTCCTTTTCAGTTGAAATTCAGGTTAGTCCCGTTTGGTCATGACGACCTAAATCTAACCCAAAACTACCAACCCAAACAATGTTTTCCCATTGACACTTAACAGAGAAGCAATTAGGTCTTATCGTGTAATGATTATCCTTACCGCTGGAATAGTCCTTCTCTAAAAAATTTCCAAGCTCCGTCCATCCGTTCGCAAATCTTTTGATCACAGCATAAGATGTCGCAGGATTCTCGAGAGATTTTGGTCCTTCTAATTGAACTTGATTCATGGCTTCCTTGACACTTTTAGAAAATTGTTTTACTTTTTCCAATCGACTCTTCTCTAACTCGACAAATCTCTCCAGGCTTTGACCTAACTTCATCTCCAAATCGACGATTTGTTTCATTTGCGCTATAGAAGCAAAGCTATCTCCGTTGGCAAAGAATTTTCGACGATACAGACTGTGAAATTGCGATAGTATAAAAATTATAAACCAGCATCGAGTGTCCATTTTCTCTTCGCTGAGTCACTGAAATCTTCAGTTAGTCCAATACATGTGACCTGTGAGATTGCACTCGCCAATTTCGCGAGGATAAGTTTTCAAATTATTAATTATTTATCAGGTGAAACTTTCTGTGTCACACTTGAAAGACTTGGAAGCAGATGTGAACAATCGCTTTGAGCAGGAATTTTTTTCGCCCCCTAAAAATTGCTCGATAATTTGGCTTTTCTCTAGGAACAATAAGGAAGGAATGAGTATTTCGTTTCATTTCTCGTCATGTTTATCCGTTTCTCCCGTTTCTTCCACTGTGTATACGTAGCTTCCTGAAAAGAATCTCAGTGAATTCTTTAACAGGTGTCAGACCGGTCTTCCAATTGTTTAGGAAGGAGAGAGGAATCTGGACACGAGCAAGATTTTGAAGGTTTTGTGGAACTTTCTTGCGGGAGACATTTAACATTCAAGCTGTTTAAAGACACTATAAGGAAGATTTGTTCAACTAATGGTATTATTCAGCTGAGTAAACCGCGCACAGATATATTTTTCAGTTTGAGATTTTTGCTGTTAGAAGACGGGTGGAAATGTCCGAGGGAAACCTGAGGCGAGCAGTACAAAACCTGAAGAAGAAATCGCAAAATGCTTTCTTTTTCAAAATTTTTTTTTTTTTCTGTCTTTTTTTTTCGTGGCGAAATCAGTTTCCTTCTTTCAAAGCTCCATGTCAGTCAAACGGTCTGCCATTTTGCAAAGACAAAAAAATTATCTGCAGCTGGAATGATTACCACAGTGACCAAAGGCGTCCTACCAGATCTTTAAACAACATTTGCAAATCAAGATAAATATATTTTGGAAAAGCTTATTGGACACTGTGCATTGCGCATTTCAGACTTTTCAAATTGTTAAAATAAATCAGCCACTTTTATTTTGATTAAAACTCTACAAATTTAAGGATTTGATTTCCCAATGAGTCTAACGGCGACTTAACGAAACCCACGTTAGAAATTTCGAAAACAATTTTCATGAACATGGAAATTATCAACTTGATACTGATACGTGCGTTTTGTCAGGCGCTCTAACTGACTCTGAGGACTTTACGAGATCAATTATTGATTGTTTGCTAATGAAAGAAACGTTGTGTTATTTTGGCAGGTTTGCTGCTCCGTGGTCACGCCAGTAAGAAGAAAATAAAATTTCGGTAATAGACCTCGGGGTAGTTTTTGATGAAAATTGAAACATTTCGAGCACAATCCATGATGATCAGACTAATTGAAATTAAGTTGACCGTAAGTCAACGGGCTGATGTAAGTTCAGCGGTTTTGTCGAGTTAAGTGGTGTTTGTTTATTTTGACAGATAGATCAATATTTCAATTCTCATTAGAATATTGACTTCGCCATTCCTGTAATTCTCACATGGGTCAACCTTCCGCCGTGGCAAAGGCTGGGAAATGGCCGCGTTTTTGTTGTATCTTAGGTTTCCATTGCTAATACTTACCTCAGCCCTAATTTTGAACAGAGCTCGGGGCGAGCTTTTTACGGCCTTAGTCGATCTGGAACAGTTGGTGTATAGAGAACGAGAATTAAGATTTACTTTAGAACAATACGTGAATTTAGAACAAGAAAGGATTACCAAATTGAAGAAGTTTCTCGCTCGAGTGGATTCCGCACACAATCTGGTAGGAGAAGATGTACCAAGGTATTTAGGACATCCTGTAAATTCTTATCTCCAGATCAGGAGATTATATAAAGATTGGCCTGATGCAGAGAAATTGATTCAAATCGATAATTCTGAGGGTAAGTCGTGTGTCTTGTATAAAATGTCTAATGATCAAACGATCGTCAGTTCTAAGACAGCAATTGTTTGATATCGTGAATTGTCAAGCCATTAACGTGTGTCTTAAGAAACAGCTGTAAATGTTTCTCATTTGAATCGCGATGCAGCTGATGTCAATAAAAAAAATATATACATCCATTATCGCCAAATTCGAAATAGTGATTCAATCGAAAGTAAAATTGGGACAATTCAGTGCTCTTTGTTATGAGAAACTTTGTTAAATTTTTCATAAAGTATGATATTAGATTTAATTATTTCTTTTGGAGTAGTATGACTTTACACAATCATCAAAACTTCCTTTTGATAGAAACATGAAAATATTCTTATTCCAAGCTATTTGTATATGCAAATTATCAATTTCTTGATTCACAATTTTGCTTTAATGGGAATTATAATATCTATTAGAACATCTTTGGGCTTTTGATCAAATAGGGTCCAATCACATGATATTTTTTATTCAAAAGTTAATTAATGCTGTGATCTAATTTATTTCTATATTTTGTAAGCAATAATTAAACTTTTGCCTGTATGTTCTTGAAATGAAAACTTTCAATAACAATTTTGAGGCAAATGCCTTTTTATTGGGGGGGGGGGGTGGGGGGGTCTTCAGTAACATGAAATGATAAGGAGGATAAGGAGTATTGCCACTCCCCTGGAATCAAAGCTGGTCCATTTCCCTCCTCAGTATTGCACCTATGAATTGCATAGTTGGTTGGTACTAATTTATACACTTTACTCCTGAGTAGAGAGGGGTTCAGTGATAATAGTGCCTCCTGCTTAAGAACCCAAACACTGACCCAGTCAAGGACAAAACCTGGACGACTCGATGCAGAGTTAAATATGCTCACCATTTGGCTATGAATGTTACCATGTATAGTTTTAACCTTTCCACTCCCACGTCTCATTAGTAATTCTCCTTCCTGTCAGCGATACAGTTCTTAAGGTGTTAGCATGGAGAATTTGTTATTGGATCAACTAATAATCCCCTAATATTGATTTTTTTGTTTATTCTCATCACTAGCCTGCTTGATAATGTATTGATATTTTAACCCTTTAACTCCCAAGATCTAATTGTTAATTCTCCCCTCTAGCTGCTACACATTTCCTTGTAAATCAGTTATGAGACCTTGGTGCCAGATCAGGAAAGCAGCTTCTACCTGATGAGTTTGAATATTCTCATCACCTGTTTGCTGAATAATGTTAAGGATATTGTAGGGAGAAGTTTTAAGTTAATCACTTCTGGGAGTTAAAGGGTTAAGGGTGTACCGTGAGTGCCGAGGGTCAGCTATATTCTACATTGATTCTAGCATCAATGTGCACATTCTCTATACTCTTTTCTATATATTCCCTATGGTACTGAAAGGAGAATATTTTAAACAGTCAACAACTTCTTTAGTTGGCAATAATTTTCTTCATTTTCATGTCTTTAATGTTTGAATTAGTGTCAAAACCATCAGGACAAATTAGATGCTAGTCACTCTTAGGGTGAAGGGATCAAATTAGATGGAAAAAATCCTTGATCACCAATTAACATGATTTATGTAATAATTAGTGGGAGAAATTAAAATGCTTATTACTCTTCTATGTCTGGCAGCTGTCAGTGATGCCATAACCAAGCATAAAGAGGCACTTTCATCGAAAGAAGATTATGAAGGAGCAATCACTGCCCTCCTGCGACTTCAAGACACCTACCAAATACAACCGTCATCATTTACAGAAGGCAAGCTGACAGACGCTGTCCCATCACCCAAAATGACAGTTGGTGAGATTTATGATATTGGACGACATGCTTATTTGAATGGCGATATGTTTTACACAAGGTCATGGATGGAGGAATCACTGAGACAATACATAAAGCAACAGGATGATTTAGAGGGAGTTAATCTCTTTGACATCTACGATCACCTCGCGTACTCTAATTACAAGGTACACAACCTGCTACATATGATTTATTGAGTCTACTATGCTCAAGAAAGCATAAACGTACCTAAATCTTTCATGGTCTTTTCAGATGCAAAGTGATGATTCATTTGCAGAGCTATTACCTTGTGGGTCTAGGAAAGCTATGAATGCCAGAAATGTTTCTGTCACCTTATTTTGTTGTAAGAGTCATCAGAGATTGGATTAATAAACAACAAATATCAACAATAGCTGCAATCATTTTTCAGTTTTTATCTATGCTGGCATTTCCCCACCTTTATTGTAACAGTTATGATTGGGCAGTACACAATGGAATTGTGGGTATCAAATCAAAGTGTGAATTGTTTTCTGAATCTCACAATAAATTCATTTATTTATTTTCTGTAAGTTTGCAACCTTGGCACAATTTGCTGATAGCTTTGTCTGTGCATGTTTCAGCGAGGAAACATGAGGAAGGCATTAGAGTACTCCAAGAAGATGTTAGAGCTTGGTGAGTTACACTACCACACTCTGACTACATCTATGGGATTCAGGCAAAGTTTAATTCCTGTCTTGAAATATATAGCCTAATTAAGCTTTTCATGTCTAATACTTGGCAATTATCTCCATTCTAAACCATCACTGTTTCTTTTGGGTTAATTCTAAAATCTTTGGAGTTACTCAAGATGTTGCTATGTTTAAATCAAAGACAATCCCTTGATTGAAGACATTTCCTTTATGATTTTTAAAATGATTCAAAATAACTATTTGAAACACAGATCATAAATGAAAGTTAAAGTGAATAATTTGTTATCATTTTTCTAGCATGTTTTTTAATATTTTTATAGATCCCTTGCATGAACGAGCACAAGGGAATGTTGCTTTCTTTGGAGAAGAAGTGAAGATGTACAAACAGACTGGTCGCCGAGGAGATACTGGGATTATCACTGACACTAAAGTAAAACCAAGGAGTGAGCGTGACAACTGGCACCGAACATCCTCCTTCCAAAACTATGAAAAACTCTGCAGGGGAGAAGTTAGAAATTTGGTGAGTAGATTTGAAGAACAACAATGACTTTTGTCCTAGCGTTGCCAATAACACTTAGAGCAAGGAGTATTGACAGAAGGATTCTACACAAACTGTTTGTCTTAAGAGCATTGCAAGTTTGCATAGATAGTATCTTCCAACTCCTAATTTAACTTTCTAATTTTCTATTTCATAGACTGCATGGGAACAAAGTAAAATGTTGTGCTGGTACTATAGTGGTACACCAAGATTAAGAATCCGGCCAGCAAAGTTTGAAAGAGTGTTTGTAAAGCCAGAAATTATAATAATGCGCCAAATCCTAACAGTGCCAGAGATGAACAAGATAAAAGAGTTGGCTGCACCAAGGGTAATGTACCAAAGTTTTTCGTAATAGTTCTTTTTTTTATTTGTAATTGAATCTATTTTAATATGAAAGAAACAACAGCTCAGTGCAGTATTCTAATCTGCATGTAATTCAATGTTGTAAAGGAAAATTCAGAGTAGTTTTTGAGTAAAGGAGATAAAAGTATATTTGAAACAGAGGAGAAAAAGGAATTTTATCAGCATTGGTTCATGAAACGCTCAATTTTTCTGAAGCTAGTAGCCTATTTAAGACATATTCTAAATTTCCAAATTATGCTTTGTGATTTTCATTAGTTCTTGTCCAAAACTTAAATCCGCTTTTCGAAATAATAAATTTGTCAAACACACAATCTTAATGGATAAAAAGGAAGGCATATAGACTGTTAGGGAAGGCCTGTGGCTGATTAATTATACAGTCATGTAACTGTTATCAGCACAAGTAGGTACAATTTTAGTTTGTGGCAGTATCAGGATTAGTGTCAGTTGGGTTATGAACAATCTTGCCTCAGATCATAATGACAAGGCTTCTTTGTAGGCCATTTCCAAGCTGCTTCTCAGCCCTCATGTTTAAATGAGAGTAGGGGTGAGGCCTTTGAATTGAAAATGATATTTTTTCTCATTCAGATAAAACTTTTCTTACAAGATTGGTTTAGCACCTTGCAATAGTTTGAAGAATGTTTTTCCAGAACTTGCTGATGACCTTTTGGAAGCATCAGTAATTATTAGCTTATCTCTCTTCTGTTATTTCACTTGAGGCCAATGTTGCACATGTTGGTCAGCTAGTTCAAACTTTTGATGAACAGTTCAGGAGGCTTGTTAATTTTTGGAAGGTTTAAAGGTTCAATTTTTATGCTTAAGTTTTGTTATACACCATGGCTCTTGGGTGACCTCAATGTTCCTTCAAAAAAATATGTTGGGAAAAAACAATTTGTCTTTTTGTGTGCCTTAGCCAAAAACACAGGGCTTGACTTTTTGCAGATTTTTTTAGACAGTTTTATTTCGAGGATCAATTTTTCACACATTTCTTCCACTAGTTGAATATGCAAATCATATGAAATAGTGCTTTCAGTAAATGTTGAAATATTACCTCTACCAGAAACATTATTTTCTATAATCTAGTACAGTGTATGGCTGATAATAGCTGCCACATCAGTATTATTACTACTAACATTATGCTGATTACACTTGTTGTTGATATCTGTGTAGTGGAGTCCTTCCTTCTTTCCTAAGTTTAAACAGCAATGACTGCTAGTTAATTAAGAGATACATGCAGTCATCAATCTCATAGGAAAACTAACCAACCAGCTTCCACAAACAATACAGAGTGCTTTCCAAATAAGTGTTATAAAAACCAAAAGCAGAGTAATAACAAGAGCCGACTAAAAGAAAGGAAAATATCTTTAACCCTTTAACTCCCATGGGTGACCAAGACAGAATTTCTCCTTACTATATCTATACAGTATCATGCAGACAAGTGATGAGAATAAAGAAAAATATCAATTATGGAATTACTAATTGATCTGATACAAAATTCTCCAAACTAACATTGTGGGAATCATTTGGCGGACACTAAGGAGAATTACTAATGAGATCTTGGGAGTTAAAGGGTTAAGAGCCAATGAGAACTTAAACTGAAATAACCAAAGTACCTCAAGTGTAGGAAAATGCAGGTGGGCAAGTCAGGATTTGTTTAAGTTGGGCATCTGATTATTTGAGAACTTGGTGCAACTTTTCTGAACCAACCACAGAATGAAGTATAGCAGAACAAAAGCAGTCATGGATTTCTAATGACACTGAATTGAAAATGACTTTAGTAATGTTCGACAGACAAGCATTTCTTCATACAGGGTGGATGTAACCTTCACTGATGATGAATGCTAAGGTTTTTGAAATATCAGATACTGTTTTATTATAATTGTAGACAAGAAACAATCTTCTTTCAGGACTATCTTCTCTCAGACAGTCACACCATACAGGTTTACTACATCATAAATGATTGTGTTATTGAATTTCATATAATCAGCTCCGTCGTGCCACTGTTAGAAGCTCCAAAACTGGTTTGCTAGAACATGCTAAATATAGAGTGAGCAAGAGGTAATTCATGCTGTTGTTTGGTAATCAAAAACAACTTTTTACACTTGTTACTAAATATGTACATGAGTATCTTACACTTATCTTCAATTTACCTGTTTTCCACAAGTTTTACGTTCAAAATGCTGGGCTGCAACTGACATCATCAGATCATCAGCATCACAAAATTAACTTTTAAGGAAGTTAATTAGGAAATTATTCAGAGTGTTCCGCTAATACATGCTCATACTTTTTTTATTATCCTATTGAAAAAAGGTAACATAAATTGCGTGGGCTGTGTCACTGAGCAAAATGGCCATCCTTTGAAACTTCAGAACTGTCATTCAAATGTCAGTCAAATGATTCATTGTGGATAAAATATCCAGCATCGAGTTAGGTGGTCGTAGTTGATTTCAAAGGAATGCTTGAATTTGGAATCTAGCAAAAAAACTGGATGTCATTATACTCAGATCATAAGAATCGTTCGTTTGATGTGATACTGCTTGTTGAGTTGTGTAAGATGGATTTGACTCTGGTGTGTTAATGTTGAACTTCAGATAAAAGCTATGAAGCAGTTATTATTATGTGAGGCAGAAGTACATGTACAGTCATTTATGCTAAAGAGCGTGGTTCTTAAAATTAAACCCTTTGATCTTTACCAGTCATCATCATCTAATTTCTCCCAACAATATCGCCCGCATTTCATACATGAAAGTCACGAGAATATAGGAAATGATCACCAACTTGAGGAGCTCTTGATTGTTAATCACATTCTCCTTGTCAACACCTCAGAAAATCTGTAGGGAATAGTATGGAGAATATGCTTATTGATGTTGTGGTGTGAGGTCATTCAGAGTGGAGTAATTGAGCATAGGTCATTTCTATCAGTGCGTGGAAAGCAGTTCTTTTTCTTGAAATAATTATCTTACTTTGTTTTACAATGCATACCAGCTGAAATTATTGAGAATCTTTCCATGATGTGGTTTTCAAATTCAACGTGACAGAATGACCTAGATATTTTAAAGCATTCCAAAAATTAGGTGCTTAGTAAAATAAATCGCGTTTAACCAGGTCTTCACCCGGAGTGTGGTCATATAAAAGTTGTTGCTTTTTAATCTGTCGTCTGTTGCAAGACTTGTCTTTATTCCAAGACTGATAACTTTTCCTGTCGGGATAAAACTGACATTTGTACTGCAACCACAACTTCTTGCTTTTAATTGCATTTTGTCCAAATTGTGTAGTTTGAACGTGCAACAGTAACTCTCGATGATGGAACGTTAGAGACAACTGAAGATAGAGTTAGTAAGAGGTTTGTGGACAGCGTGTTCAAATTTTGGATGAAAATCAGTATCTGAACAATTGTACACTTACCCCTCCCCTCACCCAGTCAATGATAACAAGTTAAGGGTTAATTTTGGGCTTGGGGAGAGGTAGGTAATTTTGGGTTAGGGGAGGGGTAGGTACACAGGTGCTCAGATATTGACATTGATCCCAAATTTTAGGCAGCCATATAGTAGACACCTTTATTTCAACACGGGTGTCGAAAGAAATTTTTTCTTTTTGTAACGGCTGCAAATCAAGTGTGGATTTAACTGAATTTCTCATAGATGTCGAATACCTTTTTTAATCGTGTTTATTATAACAAAATATTGGACTAGAAAAATGTATTTTCAGAGAAGCCGTTCGTAATGAGTTGAAGTGAGGTATATATAGCTGAAGTTTCATTCAGTGCTCACTGTATATTGATTTTTCGTGTTCATGACCTTTCAGATTATGCAGACTACTATCAATTTTTCATTACTCCTAACCCATGTTCCTTCAATAACGCTGAAAAATACGTTGATCAAAATACGCACATAATACGCGTATGAGTGTCGGCGTACGGGCGTGTAAATATAAGCGAATACGCGTTTAAGTTGCGTAGATACACACATAAGCATGCACGCGTCTGTGTCACTAGTATGTATGAGCCAGCTAATTTTTTTTCCAGTGTTGACGGGTAACTGTTATTAAGTATGGACTGGCAGCCCTAAAATACTACACGACTACGAACTATAAGTAGATTTGTTCTTTTCAATCCTTACAAGGCTGTGCTCAATGATCTAACAGAGCACTCTAACAAGAAACACTCTTCAGTTTAAATAGAGATAGCAGTTATTTTTTTTGTTTCGAAAAAATTGCGGTTTCCCACAAGGTATTGAAACCCAGACCTTCTGACTTTGCAATCGTGTGCTTCTTCAACTAAACCTCAGGGAGCTATATGTGAGCTCGGCAGTTAACTATATTCATGTGCGACCAGCGCAGCGCGAGGAGAAGCAATTTCAGAAGCACGGTGTGTATAACGTGGCGAGAAATATCAGTTGTTTATTTTGGAGGTGTTTTGTATTTAAGTTTTGTTCAGTTACTGTTCTGTAAATTGAAGGTGGCTCTCGAGCTCTTCTGGTAATTACTTTTTCTTTAAACTTTGTGAGTTTATCGAGAATCAGAATTTTTTTGTCATCAGTTTTAAACCATTAGGTTTGTTGGTGAACTCTAGAGAACATTTTTAATTGTAAGGGCGACTGAGCTGTAGCCCCCCCAAAAAAGCAAAATTACAAAGGCCAAAGGTCAACACAATTGAAAAAAACAATTAGTGGGTGGGAAAGGGGAAGAAAGAAAGGAAAGAAAATTTGCATCACGCCGCGCTAAGCGCGAGCAACGCGCAACCAACGTGAAGCAGGAAAAAATAAGGAACCATTGAGAGGAGCGGGTGAACGTAAAATTATCGCTAAGCGGGGGAAACATTTACCGGCGTCAAACGCGGGAAAGCTTGTAACCGACGTCAAGCGCGGGAAGAGATGCACTCAACTTCAAGTGCGGGAAAACATATAAACGGTGTCAAGCGCGGCGAAACATGCAAGGAACGTAAAGCGCGGGAAAACACCCAACCAGTGTCAAGCGTGTGATTATGCGTAATCAGCGCCAAGCGCGGGAAACACATTTGGCGGATTCTCTGCTGGGTTGGGTTTGCATATGACGGACGTAGGAGGTGGCGCGAAAATTCTAGGCCAATTAGAAGGTGTATTAGGGGAAACTTGAGCAGCTTGTCATTACTGTCGATTCTCATTTGGAAATCACTCACTAAAATAATCTAACTAACTTGTTTTATCTGTAAACGTTTCCAAACAGCTTCGTCGTGCGACAATTCAACATCCAGTCACGGGAAACCTTGAATTTGCGTCCTACCGCATAAGCAAAAGGTTGGTTCTTGCTACTTTTTGGGGACAACTTTAGAACAAATTCGTATGATCAGTCGATCCTGTATTAAGCGGCACCGTATTCTTAAAGCAGTCACCCTGTATTAAGCGGTCGGTTTTCAAAGTGTCGTTTTTTCTTTCCCGTTATACTATATTTAAAGGTCGTGGCCACCCTTTACTGAGTCTCAACGACCTGTTTGTTGTACTGTTTTCCACCTGTTTTGAACGTTCACTTAGAGCACAGCTACTCAAATAGAACTAAGAATAATCTTTCGAGTAAAATTTATTCCATCTTTATCTCAAAATAATCAATGTTAGTAGTATTTTTGAGCGAGTGTTTGTACATCAAATGGCATTTATGGCATAAAATGGTGTTTTATCATCGTGTCTCATAGTACCCCTTATTCAATGGAACTTGTATTAAACTGTCAACTTGTAATAAGCCGTCACCCCGCCATTCTCCGCGAGTGACCGCGTAATAAAAAATAAAAAATGCGCCAGAGTTAGGAAAATGAAACAAGTAGTTTATACTTCAATAATGTATTTAACCGTCAAGATTCATGGAGGTGTAAAACTTCATGGCTTACTAAGTCGTTACTGACACTAATTTGATTGTTTCCTTTATTTGACGGACTCTTTTACTTTCAAAAGTAACCTCCTTGTTTGCGTGTTATTTAGAAACGTAATGCTTTATAATTTTTCTTACATAGCAGTTAGACAACAGCTGTCTCTCTTGAATGAACCACATAAACGACCGATCTCGTTGGATTACTAGTGTAAAAATTTTCTCAATCGATATTTCAACCTCCTAACTTGCAGGCTTCTCCCTAACCAAAGTTTAACCCTTGACTCTAAAGAGAAACAATTAAATCCACACTAATTAAGCTAAACTTACGTCGCTGTGATTTTATAGCTGATTATTTTAACTTATAACTGAAATTCTGTTGATCAAAAATTGAAATATTTCTTTAAACCAGCGTGTTCCCTTAACACAATGTACATAGGAAGCCTTTAGTTTAAATAACCATTATCGTTTGAATGACATTTTATTGACAGTACTACAGTTTCAAGGCCGTTCGAGATTCTTTTCCTCGTTATCTGTCCAATAGAGGGATGAAAACTGTGAACTTTATCGAAATTCGAAACTTTAAAACTTGTGGAAACTTTGAAACTAAGGATGCTCTGTTAAAAGAATTTGTTTTTTTTTTTTAGTTTAATTTGAATATCTTTCCTTTTTTCATCGGTTTATTTCCTTTTTCAATTTGAGTTTACATTTTTTCTTCCTGTCTATTTTCTATTTATTTACTTTTGTTTGTTATTTTTTACTTTTTTACATTTTGTAAGTGGCTGGTTGAAAGACACTGACCACGAACTTATTAGACGAGTGAGTTTGCGCATTGAAGATGTAACAGGCTTAACGATGGACACAGCTGAAGAACTACAGGTATGTGCAACCTATTACGTAGAATTGAATTTAGGAACCATTGCCATTATCAGTAAAATGCTCCCATTAGGATACTCATCCCAAGTCAAGCATACAGATGTCATTGGGAAAAATAACTTCTAGATCTAGTTTGATTTAGAGACCCATTCTTTTTACTTGCTTTATGAATGTTTTTCTTGCAGATTGTAAACTATGGTATTGCTGGTCATTATGAACCGCACTACGATTTTGCACGGGTAAGTATTCGTTTATTTATGTCTGTATGAGAGTAACTGCACACTTACCCCTCCCCTGACCCAATAACAGTCAACTGATAACAAGTGAAAAAGGGGAAGGTGCGTGCTTGCTTAGATACTGACATTGATCCGTATTCTTTGTCACTTAAACTCCCTAACGTAGAACTGGACTCGCAGACGGAAGAATGGTGGATCGGACGACGGACTTACTCAGCGTTTTTAAAACTGTTTGACAGACAAACGGAAGAACTGACTAACCAACTGACTGGATATCTTTTTTGTTATTCATGGATACATCGTTTCTCTGTCTATTATTTTACAGAATAATGAAGACAAGTTTACATCTCTTGGCACGGGAAACAGAATCGCCACCTTCTTGGCTTACGTAAGTCACCAGTCCTTTTAGAGTGCTTTTCGATTGAGTGTCGTAAAACAAAAGCAAAGTTATCACAGCAGCTAATCAGAATGAAGGAAAATAACTTTACGAGCCAATGAGAACTAAAAGTTAAAGCAACCAAACTGCCTAAAGCGCGGGAAAACGCGGGCGACCAAGTCGCGATTGGTTTTAGTTTGCACCTGATTGGTTGAAAGAGGGGTACAAGTTTTCTGGACCAATCGTAGAGCGAAGTAAGGAAAACTAACGCAATCTCGGATTACTTTCGATTCTCAATTGAGAATTGCCCTGATCGTTCATTGCTGGACATACTTCATCGTGCTTTACATTTGTTATTTGTTTGTTTGGTTTTTTTTCTTTCCAGATGAGTAATGTCGAAGCTGGTGGCGGTACGGTGTTTACACAAGTTGGCACAACTTTATTTCCCAGCCAGGTCAGGGAAATGTTGATAGTCTAAACTGTTACGAAAGATGGAGAGAGATGTATTTTGAAGTTGTCGTGTGCGCGAGTTTTTTTGTATTGAAAGGCCCAGCAAACGCACACAACATTTCAACGCAACATCTTACAACACTGTTAGATCGTGTTGTGAGAAGTTGTGAAGGGGCTGGCCAAACGCGTGTAACATGTTGCAACATCCAAAAATGTTGCAACAAAAATTTGACCATATTCAAACTTGATCCAATACCATCCAACCTTGTTGCAACATGTTGTTACAGGGAGGCCAAGAGTATGCCGTACGTTGCGCGCAACAATGTTGCAGAATGTTGTGTTGAAATGTTGCGTGCGTTGGCTGGGCCTTTATACGGATACGTTTGCAACCTGAAGTTAAATCCTTTGCATTCTCCTTCTCCGCCATTACTTCAGGGGGAAGGGGGGTGGGAGTTATTCCGGTTTTCATAGCATCTAGCGACTTGGTAGTATTTCTGTTGGTCCCGCACTCGATGCTGACCCAGCGCAGGTGTGCACCTCGCCCACCCCTACATATTTGTCATATTTTTTAAAAATAATTTTAGATTTTTTAAAATCTTTTTATAAGTTTCTAACCTCGCAGTAAATGCTCTCTTCTAAATTTCACCAACAGGGAGACGCTGCTTTCTGGTGGAACTTGAAGCGCAGTGGAGATGGAGATGACAGCACAAGACATGCTGGCTGTCCAGTATTGGTTGGCAGTAAATGGGGTGAGAGGCAATATTCTAAGTAAATGTTACATCGCACAAAGATGTAGTATTGAATATAATTATGTCAGGAGAGCGCTTTTTGATTGTGTGTCGTAACACTGTAGTTATTGGAAATGCAACAGCCAATCATAATCAAGGTAAATACGACAAGGAACCAACGAGCGTTGCTGAAAAATAAGACTGACTTAAGTGCGGGAAAGTGCAAGTTACTAAATCATGATAGCTGCTAGTGTTGTGTGTGTTTGGTTTTGAGTACCATTGCTTACCAAACATCGCAGTGCTTACGAGTTACTCGATTTTGCGCACGAAAAGGAATGGTTTATGATTTGACGAAATTTAATCCAAGTTTTTTACCAAAACTTAAGTATTGCCATGAAATAACTGTCGTATCTTTACCTTTCAGTGGCAAACAAGTGGATCCATGAGCGAGGTCAGGAATTCCGACGACGTTGTGCTCTGTCCCGACATGAATGACACTGCTGACTGGAGCAGCGGGCTCAGAATAGCTGCTTAAATTAACCAAATAGAAGTTACTAATATTGATATAGATTTTATATACATTTATTCTTCATATAAAAACGCCAGCGCCAGTGATACTAACGCTTCGACTTTCCATGCCCCTTAATGTCACTAATTTAACTCAAAATAACAGCGTTTGAAACCAAATTCGTCTTTTTGAAGTTTTGGCTGGAAAACTTTTTGTTCGTTTGCTAACGTGAATTGATATTTGTGAATAATCCTTTCAAGGCTTACTACTTAAGTCCTGTATTTTGTTAGAAAAGTAAACCACTGGTTTATTTTCAGGTAATTTAGTGTTAACAACTGGGTTGAAAACGTAAATTAGCCACCGTAAAGGGTAAAAAAGCTGACGTTTCGAGCGTTAGCCCTTCGTCAGAGCGATTAGAGGAATTCCCACACACAACCCACAATTCCTCTAATCGCTCTGACGAAGGGCTAACGCTCGAAACGTCAGCTTTTTTACCCTTTACGGTGGCTAATTTACGTTTTCAACCCAGTTGTTAACACTAAATTACCTGTTATACTCTCCCACCGACGCAGCACCACAGTTTCTTTAGAAACTTACCCCTTTATTCACTGGTTTATTTTGCCTTCTAAGTTGCTTATTTATTTTCATTTTTATTTTTTTGTGTGGTATGTCGTCGTTAATTTAAACTGTTCGCTCCCAAAACTTTTAAAAGACTGAAGAGAAGCTGCTTTGTCAGTGTTCCGTAGAATATAATGATTTTCTCTGAGAGCCTTAGTATCTATTATGGCGTGAGAATTTAAGGGTGAAAGATTTTAACATAAGCGCGTGTCACGTGGATGACTGCACCAAACGTCAGCGTTTGGACCCAGTCTTTTGGTTTGTACAAAGAAGAGAGAGGACTGTGGATACTGAAAGAAATGAATAGAGAAAGGCTGCAAGAAAAAATTCTTTTTATGATATTAATGACAATAATAAAGTTTATAACCTTGATAAATCCTAAGAGTTTAATTATTTTCTCACAGTTTCTCATCAAGTCTCAAATTTTCATCGAACGGAAATAAATTTTGTATATTGCTTTTTGTTCTCAGGTGTTTTTAGTTTAAGTAATCATATAACCAAGTCTCCTGCGGTCGTGAGAAAAGTTGCATACCGAGCGAGGTCTTGGTTTGAGATGAGCCTCGATCAATCAAACATGGCTGAATGCTCTGTGAATAACACATGTGCAAAAGTTAGTTGTAATATAGGCTACAACAACCTGAGCGCCACGACGCAGGATGGATATAAAATCTTCAAGTTCCCTCCATTCTCCAATGTTTTCTTAGTCCTATACACGTTCCTTCGTTTTTTCTAAAATTACATTTCCTCTTTCCTTCCCATTAATTTTCAATCAATTAAAAAACTTGCATTAAAATCGGGTCCCTTAGAAAACTGTATCAACTGTGAAATTCCACTCTCGAAGCACAACCTTCGCTATGTTAATGTACATCGACCTCGTTTCCAGGGTGAGGCTACAGTGATTTGCACGTGCGGAACTTTCATCTTACTTACATTTTCTGCTTCCACGTGGTCTGAGCGGATTCACATCCGATCCGGAAAACTCGTCAACTTACCAAGAGTAACCTGCATACGCGACTAGAGGCAAAGCATAAGGGCCCGTGCTAGAGGACTTGTTATGGAAAGCACACTCCAAGATGTCTTTCTCGCCAAAGAGCACACGGTAAGAGTGGGCATGAATTCAACTTTTCAGATGTTTCTCAACGCGCTGAATGGGGTCGAAAGAATTCTTTATGATAAAGGAAGTGTTTGAAGAGATATTCTCAACAAGTTTCACTGCACTAAGATTCTCGTTTAGAGAAACGACAGAAATATTATTAGAGAAAAATGTTGCGGCATATTTACCGGTAAGTTGTATTCGTCAGCCCTTACAGGGTAAATTTTGTTTAAGACAAAAATTCCGGCATGATTTCCGTACAACCCCATACTTCATTATAAATACAGTCCTTGGATAAAGAAAACAATGGCAGGGGACAATGGATTGCCTTTAGGACTACGATTTTGTTTTAAAATAATATGGTGTTCCGGAAATCTTTCCTCTCTCGCTGATAACCAGGCAAACCGAAGTAGAAGTTCCAAAATAAATTATGGTAAGGAAAGTTGTGAGTGAAAAGAGGTAACAGATGCTTAAAGGTGGTTACAAAGCAGAGAACACCAGAGCTGTTCTAGTGTAGAGGGTTTTTTCGCTCTACTGTGTTAGACCCGATTTAATTTATTTAACAACTATGGCTGTCAAAGCAACTTGAACAAGGAGAAATTAAATTGATATTTGTGTTTCTTGTAGATAAGCTACTACAAGAAAACGTCCGAGTAAACCACGAGACTGGATAGACTGGAAACGAAAGCAACTACGTAAAGGTGGGCTTCCGTATCTGATTCGTTCAAAATAGACTCATTATATGTTCATGTGGCTTTTGCCTCCGAGGCAATGGTTTTTTTCGTCAGTGCTAGTAGGAAAAATATATCGAGCCAAGTGTTGGCTTTCTTAAATCAGTTGAAATTTCAATGTAACTGTGAAGAGCAATCAAGAGTTAAGCAGCAAAATGTTTGCACCATCCAAGAACTGAATGCATAATGTAGTATGGGGCTGTGCGGAAATTTTACCTTGTCGTGTATAGACAAACACTAGTTATGTGGCAGATTAATTTTTAACTGAACCAAATTTAACATTATAGATTTAAGTCGTGGGCGTCCAAATAGCATAATGGATGATACAATGAAATATTTTGGTGGAGGAGTGAACAAATTAATTGTATGGAAATAAGCATGATGCAAATAAATTCTCACGCCGCCGTTGAAATTCTGTCGTGGTACTTTGTCACCTACAAAGAATGATTGGAATGTAAAGGAAGTGATCGGCTCTTTCAAAGAATTAATCAATCAAACAGACAAACAAAGTGGTTGCTTTATTATTTCAGTTTCCAGTAAAATCCAAACAAACTTCTCTTGTCGTGCGTAAAATAGGGTGAAAATTTTTAGCGGAAACATTTCTGCTAATTATTTTAACGATTTCAAAGAGCCTTTTTCAAGATGAATAGTGCGAGTGTGCAATCTATTAGTCGTTAGGGCCTAATTCCAACTGTATGTGACTTGAGGCCGCTTCAATCGCAGAGTTGTCAATTTTGATGTAAGATTTGCTCGCTAATCGGTGAAGTTCAGTATTAGCCATCTTTTTTTGCTTTTTGTTGATCTATCAAAATTTAATTTAACTTGCACGTTGCTAATATATTGTTTTAAAATATTTCCCTGCTCTCATACGTTATTTCCCTGTAAAATAATCAGTGTTCTATCTTTTTTGTGGAAGTATCTATAAATTGTACCTGGAGAAATTTAGGTTGAGTTACTGTTGACCTCACGAAAATGAGTTGACATTACTAAGTTTGGGTTCTTGAGCCTAACATGAAAATGAAGTCAATCGTGACCTTGCTGGCAAGAAAAAGGAGGCAAAACATAGAGGAATCAATGAAATGAACGAAGCACTCTAAATAGGTCACCGATATGATACCATACGAGTAGATATTTTATCAAACGCAGAGTTTAAACACTTAGCCTTATCAGCAAGTTTACAAGTAATCCACGGTCTACATATGGCAAAGTTTTCTTGAGAGGTTCACTATATTATGTTCTTATCTATTTGCAGGGCCTATAATACTTCCCTGTGATGTGGAGGCAGCTGTACCCAGAGAGAAGACGAAGAAGAACTTACAGAATGTAGTTAATTTGTAAAGACAAGATGGAATTGACTTTCAAGGTAACAAATGTAATTGGGGGCTGTTAATTACGTTCCCAGTAGATCCTCACGACTTTCTGTGGAAAGTTTTTTTCAGTTATTGCGAAACGAGACACTTAGATAAATCTGGCTAGAATTACATTTACAGAATTTTCATTACATTAGACGATGCTCAACAGTTTGGATTTTAAAAGCCAGTAAGATCGTCAAATTGCAAATCTTTTTGACATGAACAGCAAAAATCTTAATTCTTCGAGTTTTTTCCAAAAAGGACGCTCGGCTGATTTGTTAGGAAACTAGACACATTTTTCTCTTTTGAACGTAGGTTTAAATTGGCTCGTTAACTTTTTAAAGGTTATTACAGGCCAGGGTCAATTGCTCGTGTCGCACAATGGTGTCGTAGTTTCCCATCAAAACATTCTTCTAACCTTCTACGTAATAGGAGTCCTAGCTTTTTGGCTATATTTTTTCCACTCGATTCCAATGTAATTATTTCACGTAGGCAATTAATGCGTAGTTCATATCATCAATTTTTTTGAAACAAAGATTTTTAAAATGTTGTCAACAATCTTATTCATTTTTCTTGTTGATCAGACTTAGACAGATATGCCTTGCCAATTAAACACGTTATTTCTCATGTATTCATCTATCTGACATGATTTATCTAACTTTTTATGCATGATGCTTATCAATTGTTGTAAACATTTTAACTTGTTACTAAACAATTGTATGCGATGCCAACCAAATAAAGACTTAACTTCAACCGCTGTCTCTTTGTTTCTTCTTAATATCTTACAATTATGGAACGAAAATTTGCACTTTTAAAAGGGCCTGGAAACAAGTCAAAATGTAGGCTCTCTTTTAACAAATTTTGCGTATGGAGGGTTGCCGAGAGGAAAAAACTTGCTGCGAATTTGAACAGAATCTTGTGTTAAAACAAAAAATATACTTGACTTTTAATGGGAGAAAACGCAGTGCAATATGTTTTTCCCGCCAAAAGACTCGGTATATTTTTTCGATCAACACCAGACGCATAACAAAAGCGCAGACTTTTTTTTCCGTAGTATTTTCCCGCCAAAAGACCAGATACAATATGAAAACGGAGACTTTTTTTCTATAAGACTTGAACGTTTTTTACCGAAAATATTAATTCGCAAGTTCATAGAATGTTCCCTTCCAGGCAATTCTTAAAAAAAACCTTTGGTTAGCCCTTTTAAAAGCGCAAACTGCCTCATAAGTAACTTTGTTTTCTACACAACTATTGCTCTAATTTCAAGACTTCGAGTTCTTTCCTTTCTAGATATGTATTTTGGAAGCGTATTATAAACTTTAATTTTAAGTCAGTCAGTATGTTTTTTTCCGC